AACTGGTGTGTCAATCTGTTGCCTTCAGACATGCAACAACTTGTACAAATAAACAATCTGGCCTTAGTTTTCCAGTCCTAAGTTACATTGAAGACCAAAAAAAAAAGAAATATCCTGGTGTGCTGGCAAAGACCGATGAAACTTAAGTTGAACAAAATTCTGCTTGCTGTGGGAAGAGAAAAAGAGAGACTGAAAAGGGATAAGATGTTGCTCTTACTAAGGCAAAAAACAGCTTCTGAGGTAAGAAAGGAGAGACATAGCTAATATCAAGACTTCCAGGGAGCTCTTTCAAATTAAGCATGCATATTTTCCTGCAGCATGTAATGAGCAAGAACTAATGAAGGGAAAGCTGCTTCCATCTAGTGAAGTCCAATGAATTTTAATTTCATGAAGCAACCAACATTTCTTAATTGTGACCTGCTTTGGAAAAGAACTTTTGAATTGAAATTGTTATTTTGGTCATCATCAATGAGTCGACGTACTTGGACACAAAATGTTAATGAAGGAAGATAAAGGCAACTGCACCAAATGTCAAGATACAAAAGTTGTAATGTGATGATAGTAATTTATATCCCGATTATTTCCTTCAGGCTTAACCCTTAATCTCTTGCTCATTCCTTTTGTATTAAAAATTCCCCGTGAACTCAAATCTGATTTTCATGAATGCATCTAGGTTTGTTCCAGAAAGAGTTTCAGGCCCAAATTCTTCACCATTAAAAAGACTATGAACTATTAAACTGTGATGAACATTGTCAACAGGTTCTAACAGTGAATTTAATATTTGTCAGAGAAAGAGAACCCTGGGTAAAACCCAGGTTGGGATTCACAAGCCCTTGCAAATTCAGACAGATCAGATGCAAAGCTCACCCACCATCCTTTACTTGGGAAGCCAGATGCCAGTTCTGTGGTACTGCACTTGTCAGTAACCACAGCTAACTCTGAGAGACCACAAAATGGTCACAGCATGGCCCAAGCTACGACCAATGGCTGCTTCACATACCATGCTGAGTCTGAAGAAGCCAGACTTGCCCCTGTTTGCTTGTTCAGTAAGTGACTACATCCTTCAATGAAAGCAGAGAGCAGACACCGAGGAAAGTACCATTATCAATCACATTAGAGTGACAACTGACAGCACACGAGGACATGTCTGCATCAGGCAACACAGCACAGGGCAGAAGTCTCAAAGGTATGACTGACTTCACAGTGTGAGGCAATAGCACAAACTTGCAAAACACTATGTAGGGTGCCCAGGCTTACAAGTGAACTGCAAGTTAGGTACCTAATTTGCACAGATGTTTATGAAAATTCAAAGAAGCATCTACCTTTTCAGATGATTTTGCAGCTTTAAATGACTTGCCATTAGCATCCACAGTCCCTGTGTCAATTTTGAAAATGGCATTTAAGTGCTTCTTAAAATTTAACCTGCTCCAGGAAATTTGCAGTTACATTCAAATCAGACCAAAACTATACATTTTTCCTTAAAATTCACTGAGGGTTGGATTTCACTGAAATTTTTCTCACGTGTGTATCTCAGTAGTGACATTCAAGCACTCCTAGACTCCATCAAAACAAAATGAGGGCTTGTCTTGTTTAGAGCCATGGTACGGAAACACTTGAGATCAGTGTCAACCCTAATACAACTGTGGAAATTTAGTTTAGGCCCATCTCTGGTGACAATTCAAAACCACACACTGAAATGTAAGTGCCACAAGTAAACCTGACCCTAGAGCTGGTGATCTGTGCATGTGGTCTCTCAGAAACATATGCCTTCGGTACCGGCTGGGGGAATGAGAAGCATTTAGAAATGCCCAACAATAAAACATTCAAATCTATCAATGTATAAAATGGAACATTTAAGCCTCTAAACAAATGCTAAGGAGGTGGGAGGAGGTGTAAGATATAAACTGTGTAACCATTGCAATCAAAGGAATGCATCATGTAGAAACTATATCCTGTGTGAGGTTTTATTATATAGCCACTACAGAGAAAATGTTAAGAATCTTAAATCCTGCCAATGCAGCAAGCCAAGTATGTCTGCCAGCCACACACCAGGCCTGACTGTGGGCACGCAATTGTGGCTTTTTAAATTTTACAGTCTTTCCTTCATGGAAACTCCTAGGGGAATTTCCTACTGGACTACCTGCAACTTGGGTTTTGCCTCAGTAAAAACTGGAAGCTCAAATGATTCATGTGTAAACAGCTTCTCTAAATGTTTCCATTTAAACAAACTCTCTGAATAATTCACTGCAATTCAACAGTCAGCAAAAATACCTGTAACTTTCCTAATCTAGTTACAAAACAAGGGCCAAAATACCACATAGTCCCTTAAAAACAACATCTTTACCAAAGCTGAATTTTCCTTTAAATAATCTCTGGGCAAAGTCTGCAAAACAATTAACTGGTAGATCGTATAGGAAGCAAGCACTAAAATGCTTTATTCAGAGTTTGTAAAGGCTTGCTTGAAGTATTTGTGTTTAATTATCACAGGTAATTTGAAGCCTGAGCCTTGAAAGTATCCAAGCTAAACACCTGTTTTTCAGTGACACTGAGCTGCTGCTTATTGATGACAAATCTACTTAGAATAATAAGCCATAAAACATAAAAATGTAATTTTTTTTTAGTATTTTTCCATACACTGGTCCCAGTAACTCTTAATATTAGGGGCTTACAATTGAACATGGCTGAGATAATATACAAACACTTTAGAAGAATTTAAATAACCACATTGTAAAGATGTGTCCCCTGAGGCTAAAGAAGTTAAAAAAGACCCATTCAAATAAGCAAATAACATTGTTTACATTTACAAATGAAACATCATATGAGTATTTATTGATTTTTTTAAAAATTCAAAAATACATTGTAACAGAACAGAATGCAAGCGTTCTTCAATGAAAGACAAAACTATGGTTATCATCCGGACCAGAATACAAATACATGCTAACAATTTAAAAATCATTTTGGGTCATTCAGGAAACATGAAACAAGCTAGCTGTTTGCAAATGCAGTAGTTTTCTACTTTGTGAATATGCCTGAGAAAGTTAACCTGTAAAGAAATTGGCTTTTAAACTCTTAAACACAAAGAGCTTTCTAGGCTGAAATGGTGAAGAGACCTGTGATATGCACCTGACAGGCCACCGAGCCATTTCCCACAGAGATTCTGTTCACTGCTCCACCTCAGCTCAGCCACCCAGCAGCAGCAGAGTTTCATATCAATACCAGGCTTATTCAAGTGAGGTGTTAAAAACCACGCAAAGATGGTGTAAAACCATCAGTTACATACACAGCAGACAGATGTTAATAATCGAGATTCTCTACCAAACTCCTTGGTTTGTATCAGGGCCAAGTAAAAAGTAGTAGTCTAGTTTACGGATAAAATGGATTATATTTTTTGGCTCAAGGTAAGAGCTTTTATAAACAATTTCTACAGAAGCATCTAGAATCAAAGCATGAGAAAAAACAGGACAAACACAACTAATCATTTTACAGTAACCACATACTGTAGGCAAGTAGGAATCAAAACGGTAACATAAATTGTGCATTGGTTCTATGAAAATAAAGTGTTACTAGAAGACACAAGCAATCTGACAAGATGTGAAAGCGAGCAGTGAAAACTTCACGGATTGAATTTCTTTTCATCAGAATTCATCTGTTTCTACTGCAGGCAGGTAACAAATGGAACTCAGGAAAACTGAATTCCTATTAGCAGCTTAACTCTACTACAGTGAGGCTTAGGCTTTTACCATTTCTTGTATTAAGAGACATTCAAACTAATAAATCAAAAACGATACTTTAAAAATGAAGACCAAAAGAAAGCTGCATGTACATTTTAGACAGAAACAGCATTAGATCAAATCCACTAGTGATATCTGATGTATGCAAATATAATTGAACTATGCTGCTTATGCCAACAGAACATCTGACGCTGCATCTTGAATTCTAGCAGCCTTTTTTATGCCACTTCCAACAACTGCATACTTTGTAAATTACATGGGCTTTGATGAAAACAAATCATTGTCAGGCATGCAAAATTCTAACAGAAACCTCCCATTTCCAGAATTTGGTTACATGATCAAATTACATATGCTAGAACATACGAAACCAACTTTTCAAATGAAACAAATTCACAACTCTGAAAAACAGAAACTAAACCACCCGTATAAAAAACCTACGACAGGAAAAATAGTATTTCTATGTAGCTCATTCTATCCTCTGGTGGTGCAACACAGCAAAATGAGCTACTGTCCTTATAGTGTGTAATTTTGTATGTCATGGTGATTGGGAAGAGGCTTCCTTTTCACATCTTCCACACTGCAGATATGACTGGATGTACTACAGAGGCTGCCACACCTATTCTATGAAATGCAGGGTATTTGCCATTGATGGATACAGGCTATCAGTGCTGAAGGACTCATGCACTGACCTGTGCGGTTCATCTTACATTCTCTAGAACTGACTGTGATGTCAAAAACATTCTGCATTGCTCTGACATCAGTTCTGCTCCTAGCCTGCACCTTCTGACGAAAACATTGTTCTACAGGTTACAAGCGAGGGGTGCAGGGTGGGAGGCAGAGTTACGGCTTTAACGACCTGGCCCAGAAGACAAACACAAAGTTAAGGTGGTGCATCACTACCTTCTGGCTCAGAGTCGAAGAGAGAAACTAATGCCAGAAATATATAAAGCTTCTAATGCCAAGAAGTGAAGACTCTTAAAGAAGTGCATGTAAAAAGCACAATTTAAGCCCGTAATTATTCAAGAAGAATAAACAAAGGAGAGGAAGATGGTCTGCAGTAAGGTGAATGGAAGGAAGGAACAAACAAGAGAAAGAGGGACATGTATACTGGTGCAGGGGTGGTATCTCCTGGACCCAGAAACTGCCTTGGACACCAACTAATTTTACAAGATAAGTTACATGCATGCCCACATTCAAGAGGGCAAGAGTGAAACCTTGATGGCAATGCTATGATTCTGGCTGAAGAGCTTCATTTTCCCCCTCCCATACCTGAAAGCCTTGAATCCTTGCCAAATACTCCAGCTGTTTTGAAGGCTGCACTGCAGAACATGGGGAGGCAGGAGATATTCCTTTTAGACCTATGGCTTCGGCAGTTGGGGATGTTCCATTCATGAGAAGTTCCCTGGCAATCGTAGCTGTGCTATTTGTTGTAGGAGATATGCTGAAGAAAGAGCTAGAAGTCTGGCTCATTTCTTTGGATGACAAATAGCTTACAGTAGTACCAGGGGCTGATTTGTTGCGGCTTGCTTCCATCTCTTGATAAACATCAGGAGAGAGATGGAGTATTCCCTTTGGTGCTGAAAACAAAGACAAAGACCATTCTCATTACTCCAGAATAGGTTTGGCATGAAGACAATTTCATTAACATATTTTACAGTTGAAAACAAAGTAAGCATTTAGAAGCAGTATCCTTTTTTCCACAGTAGCTGCAAATGAAATTGCATGATTTATTTAGAAAGAAAGCAGATTTGAAGTACCCGTCTTCCTACTCTTCCCCTGCTCTTTTTAAGGATTTACAATCCTGGATTCTAAAACAGTGGCTAGCACAGAACACACAACACGAACAAATACGGTTTGGAGATCTGAAAACCATGAGGAACAGCTGCTACTTCAAAATAGTAGCACAACCATTATTTCACTACAATCTTCTACCTCCTATCTTATGTGATAATTTAGACTGTTATTTTACAAATAATTTAAACTAGCCTATGTCAGCACTCTTGCCACCAGAAGTAGCTCTTTTCTCTCCTGCCTACAGCTGCTGTTTGTACTCTCCAGCTGCTCTATTGCTTGTTCCAGGACCAGCACCTGTAGGACCATGCAGTGATGCTCATGAGAATGAGCTGCTGGATGCAAAGGAAGGCGTCTGGCAGTAGGAACACTGATTCAAGTGCTGGTTTAAAGTGTTTGCCAGCAGCCTGTGCTTAAATAACCTTAAATTGCCATGCAGCCACATCATTATGGTGCTAGTGACTCTAATGTCTTCAATTAAGAGGAAATTATTTATTTATGTATTTATTTAGCACATGTATGGCATCCTATGGTTTGCAAATAGCTATGTGCCTTGGACAACATTTACATTGAACAAAAAAAGCATGCATGTGTCACCATTAATATCAATAGGAGTTAGGGTAAACATAAAAAAGATCTACATTCATTTACGTGAATTACTTTTAAATGTTTCAGTGACATGTAAATTAGGGATAACTTGTCCACATTTAAAAATATATACTATATTTTCAGAAAGCATCTCAACCCTAAAACTGCTTGGAAACAGGAGCACACACTTGATCAGTTTTGCAGATATTCTTCTGCATGGAAAGGTGCAGAATTAAGTCTCAAATTTGCTAGTTTTCATATACAGTGAAGCATCTGCTGGAAACATGAGTCCCTAGTTTGCTGTTATAAGAGGAAAACTGTTCTTATTAATAATAAATTGAAAGATGAAATGTGTAATTTCATATTAATAGCATACTTTAATCTTCCAGAATATATCTGAAAATAAGATGGGTGAACCTGAGCCATATGGCATTTCATTCTAGGGATGATAAACCTACTTGTTAACTGATTTAGTAATCCCAAAAGAAATCAAAGAGTTCAATGCTTAATTCATTTGCAGTACACATTAAATTCATCTCAGAATGTAGAAAGAATTCAAAGAGGATAAGAACATTAATTTCCAGTTACCTAGAAAACATTTTTCTAATCCTAGTAGTGAAAGTAGTATTTTTAAACAAAATGTCTACCACAAGGAGAAGACTCAAAAAATATTACCAGTAATTAATATCCTCATTTTCTAGTACATGGTGAAAATCGAACTTCCTCATTGCTGACTCAGGAAACTGCTTACAGGTGAATATTTTAATTGAATTGCTCACACATTTGGCTTTTAAATTAATATTGCTTTCAGGAAGCTGGAGTATCACTTTGTACCATTCACAAAGACCTACCTGTTATTCACTTGATTGCTATCCCTAATTACCTTTGTGGGGCTGGGGAGCCTGGCTGGACCCCAAACTCTAAAAATGTTTTACCCAGTCTTAACAACTGGCTCCAAAGCTAGTGGACCCTGTGCTGAACTCTAGAGCTAAGCACAAGTTCAAGACTAGTGGGGAAGATAGAGGACAGGGTCCCTAAATTTTGTTTTCTCTGTTTGGGACAATTTAGATTATAACCTCATAGATAACAACTATGTAAACATGCAGCATTATTTTATAGCACATAATCACTATATGATAGTGATTTTATACCCTTTTTCTAAGGCTATAACCTCCAAGGCCTATCACTGCTCATATTTTTAAACAGTCTTATACAAGACATAACATGAATGAAAATTAAAATAGATAACACAGACACTGATAGTTGATGTTAGGATACAACATCAAACAGCAACAATAATATTGAGTGGCAGGTGTTCATTACCTTCTCAGACCAGCCCCCTGTAAATCTGATTTCCCAAAAATATTTGAGAAACAGAAAGAAAGACTGAATAAAAGACAAAGCAGTGTACTTGTTTAGAAATAATGTTTTTCATATAAATAATCCATTTTAGAAAAGCACAGTACAACGTTAGCTTAAAAAAAAAGTTTTAAAGAAGTTTAAAATCAAGTCCAGTGCTGCAGATGTCTGTTCCATTGATGTAATATTATTTAAAACAAACATTTCACATGCTTTCTCAGCCATTTCACTGTTTTTACATGATCCACCCAAATATCTAACTGCAGTCTGGAACAATGGTTTGGAATACTTCCAGATTACTAACCTTTCTAAATGTTAAAATAATTAATATGCAGCATATGATGAATAAAATGATATTGAACAGAGTATGGCAAATGCTCCTAAAGTACTGACTTTAATAGTGATGTTAAATTAATAATAGTACTTTTAAACTTATGCAACACCTTTCTGCTAAAGACTTCAAAGTGCTTTATAAGCAATAATTAATTTAAATCATACATTGGCTCTGAGAGACAGATATTATATTACCATCATTGATTATCTCTAGAAACAAAGTAATGTAATATTCTAGACATTAATACAGTTGCAAGCTATTAACTTTTTATATTCAGGGCCTATGCTTCATGCAGCTTCTTTCCTACAGACTAGTTTTAAAAAGACAATAAAACTTGGACTCTGAAAACTTTTAATTCATTATCTATTTGCAATATATTATTGAGGATTATTTTAATACCATTCCTCACTATCGTTTGCTTACTTCAACTCTGTTAAATTGTAGAGTGCATGTATGCAACAGTTTAATTACGGTAGAAAAGTTGTTACCACAAGACAAGGAGTATGACATCAACAGAGAAGTAAGTCTGAAAACAAAAGAACTCTTCAGAAATTATCTGAATTAGTCTTCAAACAAGCACTTTAATAAAAAATACAGGAGGAAGAAATGCTATCCTATAATACCTTTAAGCATTGCAGAACCTCTCTAGGTAAATATTTTCATATTGTCAATAGTCTTTCAGCTAAAAGCACTTTGGATTTTTGTGTCCACTAAATATTGATCCCATGCTAACTTCACCATACTCTAAGGGTTATCATCACAATTACTAGTCATTACCATTTAAACCAACAACATTGCATCTTCTGCTAATATAAATGGAAATGGAAATTATTTTAACGTTTCATGACTGTACCTCTAATTTAGAGGTACATTAAACTAATTTCCATATATATTACTTAAACCTGTGGGCAAACATGCTATGAAAATATGCAGGCTAGTAATGCAATGTAATCACTAACATTTGAAAAACATGTCTTATTCATCCTTGGTGGTAATTGTTAGCAGTCTCTCACAATCTTCTGAAGTCTCTGAAAACTCCGCACCAAATGGCTCTCTTACTTATACATACATTTCTTGATCTTCCATTGTCTACTTTTGCTGTCATGTACTGGACAACTGCCAAACAGTTTAGACTCCAAGGCAAATGTACAATTAAGATATAAAATGGCCTGACTATCTTTCACAAGCCTTCCCCTTGAAGTGTAATCTCCATGCTCCGATTACACTTATTTTCACAACAGCAGTAGCAGAGGCAATCTCCAAACGATCTATTGGAGTGGTGTTATTTTTATCCCTAACCCTTTCTCTGAATGGTCCCCTTGGCTGGGAAGAGAAGGGGACCTTTCTACAAAAGGGATCCCCACTGTCTGGACCTTTACTCCTTCTGGAGTTCATGGAAAACAAAACTAATCCCAAGAGGGACTTTCTGCATGGGGAAGAGGGTGAGGAATGAGAATGACCACCAATATCATCAAATGAGCCTTAATGCAGTAAGACTCTGCAAAAAATGGAATTTGTTGATACAGGGGCAGTGAAAAGTTCCCCCACAGCAGTGGGCTATTAAATTAGGAAATGTTCAGAGCCATGACAGTGTTGCCTGCACACTATCAGGCAACACTGTCAGAGTCCACACTGGTACCACTGGTGTCCCATTTTCGATTTTCTATTTCTGTCAGGAAGATTAGAAAAAATGAAAAGCTGAAATTCCACTTTTACAATTCAACTCCAAAGGAAGACCTACAGCATGAGGCTTGTACTGTCAATTCGCATATACATATCAGTGCTAATTTTTTCTCTTTTCTACTTGATCAGCGCTGTAGGGATACTCTTCCTCTGCCTTTACTTACTGACTTCTTGGGGCTCAAGGTCACTTATTGACTTTTCATGTTTATGGACGCTCAGTGTAACTGGTCTAAAACCACAACTTAATTCTTCCTTAGAGAACTACAGTTTTCTCCCTAGGCTTTCACCTGTCCTACAGGAAAGCTGTATTTGGTATGCACAAGCAGTATAAGCTGGTGTATGACTTCCCCCAACATCCCTGAAGAGCATATGCTCTTCCCTGCACTACAACCAGTCAGGCACCAGCCAGAAGGAGTGTTTTCATGTCTTGCATAATGATGCACAGCAAACCATGATATAATTCTGTGTATGACATGCTCATAAATTAACACCCTGATATTTGAAGCAATCCATCACTGGATGAAGAAAAGATTGTTCATAAGGAGATAATAAGCATTTATGGAACTGAATAAAATAATCAGTAATCATCAAGAAGCTTTCTTTCAGATTATGCTACCTGTATTGACAGACTTTTTATATTGTGCTGCTTAACATATATGGCACAATCCTCCAGTAAGGTGTTAAGCAGGAAATGTTAGACCCAGATCTAATCCTGACTTCACTATTATGTAAATTAAAATGGACAAAACCTTAAAAGGCACAGAGAACTTTCACATGCAATGATTCCTTCATAGAACTGGCAGGTTCTCAACATGCCCTAGAATATAGTCCATTAAAAATCCACTGAGAGAAAGAAAAGAGAATTTACAAAGCCAATTAACTATTTCAATAGCAAGACTGGAAAACGTAAATGTCATCATAAAAAGAAATTATTGTTTTATACTCCACTCCCTACAAAAACCTATTTATATACTAGAATATTTTCAAATTTTGTTTCATTACCTCAGTAGGAACTCAGAAAACGTCAGTCAAACAATTGAATAAGCAAATAATATGGCCATTATGTTCGCAGTCTACAGGCAATCTTGGCTTGAAATACCAAGATGCAATCATTACCCACTTAACACAGCTATCTGCTGTATTTCTAAGTCACCAGCTACTACAATATTCAGACATGAAAAAATGTTTTCTCATTACACAATGTCCTTAAATCAAAAGATCTCATCTACATGACCTTAAACAAACAGATGTTATGTAAAGTCACTCACGAAAATACTGTTTTTTTTTTTAACCTCAAAATAACCATGACACTGAAGTAAATGCTATTTAGTTCTTTGTGAAGTCAGTTCTGATATCTTTAATTTCACTGGAACATTTTCTATACAGCCAAAAAGGGAAACTGCAGTATTACAGGAGACAAATTGTATTCATTTCCATAACATTTGATGCTTAACTCATGTGAGGCAAATCCTTTGAAATCTCCCACAGCTTTACTCCTGCTTGGGAACATAAGATTTTTGTAAAAATAAGACTCACTGTTTGCAGTGGGGAATTTGTAGAGGAGATTCTATGAAATAATCCAACAGAGAGATGAAACACCTACACCATTATTTTACATGGTAACTTCTGCATCATAAGTTTCCAAAAAAACATCAGCGTACCAAATAACCTAAAATTAAGATGAAGCAGGTTCTGAAAAGAACTGATCTAAATGCAGAAGAAAAGGCAGCATTCTTATCAGTAAAGAGAAAATTCAGAGCAGGAGCAAATCAAGCTAGTGAACTGGCAGAGCAAGGTTCTTGTAAAAGCTGCAAGAATGTGATTTTGAGGGAGTAAAGCAATTAGGAAGTGCCTAAGTGCAACTGGAGGTGACCTGTGCAGGCAAGACTTTTCATTAACAGATTAAGAGGGGAATGAGAATGGTGATGATGAAAACAAAGGCATGACCCGCAGGTAGAATAGATGAAAGAATGAGCAAGTCTACTAGACAAGGATGGAAAGGTTGCTGAGCTAAGAAGGTCAAGGGGGACATCAACAGACACAGTATATGTATGAGTGAAGAGGAAATCACAGGAAACAAAAGCAGTGCGGAAGTGGAAGTCATAGGGATAAGGAGTTTGACATAACAGAAAGGGGATGGAGGAGAGAATGGAGAACCAAGTCTTGATTATGGCAGCAATAAAGCCTCAGATCACAAGATTCAGTTCTTCAGGGACATTATTATCCTAGGTTATGGGTGAGGAACATGGTGGGTTCCAGGCTGGGGGACAGTAGGAAAAGGAGAAATTACTTCAGAAAAGTGACAGTATTTAGAGAAACACAGTGTTGAGGTTAAATGTATGATACTGGTCTGTTTGCCTTGCTGAGGACAGAAATCCAAATGCAGATAATTTATAGAATTACATTATCAAATCAGAATTTGCAAGTTAATATAAAAAAAAGAGCTCTGCATTGCTATTTCCCATGCAGGTTTTTTCAAAGGAACACACCAGCAACCCTGAACAAACGTAATTCATATAGGAATTAGGGGGGACTAGAAAAAGCAAAAGAATAGTTTCTCTGTAATTATCTCTACCCATAGAGCTGGCTATCTACTGTGATGGTGGCTGTTTCCTCTTTATATATTCTAGACATATCAAGAGCTTAATGGTTAATCAGTCTCCTAGAAGGCTGTCTTAGATTCTTCCTCAGCCTGATGGCATCCAAACCACAAGCCTTACAGCCCAAGTGTATTTTTCCTACATACGCACAATACATACCACTCAAGAATCAAGCAACAAGTTGCTTGTAGAATATAATACTTATATATATTTTTTATATATATATATATATATATATATATGTATAATATCCCAGCCAGGGAACACCAGAATACATATCTGCACCTTCACTTACAAATGCTTTAATCAACAGATAGACTACAAAGTCATGATTCCTTTAGATCACTCCTTCTATGTGGATTTCTTGCATTTTGACAGCATGTGACTTCCTATTTTCTGTCTGCAAATCATAATGATATTAGATACATATTTCCAAAAGACAGCTGCTGTTATCCAGATTACGCCACCCCTTAAGTACTCTCCTTCTAGTGAAGAAGGAAACTAAATCTGTCTCTCAACTTTCTGGGCACATACTTAAAATACCAGGTAGTTTAAGAATATTCATTGTCCTTTAAACTCAGCAGAGAAAGTATCACATCCAAAGATGTGAAGCTTGCAGTACTCTGCATCTCAATAGGGGAGATGTGGGGAAACTGCATCTCAATAGGGGAAATGTGGGGAAAGGAGAAGCACCAATTGCAGCTGTGATCTTACACGAATTGTGCCCAAATCCCACTCACACACAAACATGCTAATTTGGATCTTGCCGCTAGTTCTCAAAACAACAAATAATAAAGAAAAAATGACCACACTCCCCTGTTTTATTAATATGAGGTGGTTTTTAGTATTACATGGTTTAGAAGGTTTTGTTTTTTTTTAAGTATTTCAAAAACTATATACAAGAGTTATTTCATTGGTATTATTCTGGATAAATTATTACTTCATTCTGATTGCTAGATGAAATACAAAAATAAAACATTTAGTTACTGATAATGCCAAATACAGCACAGATTTCCTAGCTTCAGTAACTCAGGGAAGAAAAAAAAATTGGACAAATCTCCTCTGCTTCTAAATTTATTTTTCCTATGTTTTCAAGTGAGAAAGAAATTCTAGTTATCTCATATATTCGCTAAAAGATGGGATGAATCCAGAGAGGCAAGGTGCTATCAACTGCTATAAGAAGGTTATACAGAATGTAGGCAAGAGGCTCAGCTGATGGAACCCTGAACACACAGTCATGGTATAACGTTCACCTGATAGTATGTTTGCTAAAAAAAAAACCCAACCCACTAACCAAACCAAAAATACCCCAAACCAAACAGTTTGAAAACTACTGTTCTGTGGCCTTCTGTGGCTTCATCAAGTAAGTAGTGTTGTCAAACCCTCTTATTGTGGTTTCTATTCAGAGTGATGTATAAATGTAACTCCTAGTAAGAGTATATTATAACTGACAAAGTTTAGTAAGTTTGGAAGCCATTCAGAAGTGAAATCCAAAGAAACAGCAGTACTTAATCAGAAAAAATGTAAACAATCCACTGCAAACCACCTTTGAAAAACACCCCAAAGAATCAGATATTTCCGCAAAACATAACACACAAATGCCAATTAAAAATGTCTGAAATACAAACAAAAGACTTTATTCCCAAACTGCAGACTTCAGTTACTGTTCATGGAAACACAGGAGTATCAAATTATCTACTGTAAGTCTTCACCAAATTGCCCAGTTGAAAAATAAACATGAAGACAACTATTAAAAAAAGTCTTTCTAAAACTAGTGAGGGCCAGAACTAGGAAGTTCACATAAATTTTTCTTCCTCCAAAGGGAGGATGCATTAGTATGCAAAATTTCACAAATACACTCTTTATTTTGGGTTTATTTTCTCTTATCAACTCCCATCTCCCAACATCTAAGTAAGAAGTTGAATGTAACCATACAGTTAAGGCTTATAACAACACTGCATATTTTATTTTTCTCTTTTTTTTTAATTTCTTAATCTATTATTTAAGTAGATTTTAAACAAATATTAAAATACACATTATTTATAGAAAAAAGTTTAGATTTCCTCATCACAGATTCAAGAAACTCTTCTGAATACCTATTTGTTTTTTTCTTCTTGCCTTTTTTTTTTTTTTACTGTGAACAATTGCATAAGATCAAATGTCTCTGTTCCTTAGGAGATCATCTGCTCCTGCTGCTCATTTACCATCTGAAATCATAATCATCTGCTGGTGACAATCTAATCATCTTCACAGTAACTAATTGTGATGTCACAAACAAATGATTATGATTTCAGGTGGTGAATAAACAGCAGGAGCAGATGTACTCTGAAGAACAAAGACTGTAAAGTCATGCATGAATCTCTAGTAATAAAATGTTAGGCAAGAAAAACAAAGAGCCTGTCCTTTACAGAGAGGTAGGACTGCTCTGACTATATTTTATTTTATTCTCATTAGTTTTTCAATACTTTGTGACTACCCGAATTGCAGGAAACAGATAAAGGAAATCTATACTATGGAAATTTAAGGGTGGGGAACATATAAAACCAGTTAGGGTCATTTTTTCCTTCTTAGAATTATAATATATAAAACCACTGTTACTTTTTCCTTTTATTTTTATGTATTTTTGTTCCTCATAGCTCATCTACAGCTTCTCCTAGAAGACATACTGCATGTTTGTGTTGTCCCGTCCAGAAATATAAAACCAAAGTAAGTTCCCAAAAAAATGCACTTTGCATTAGGATTGTTTATTTGTTTCATGTTTTGTTTTTTTGTTGATAACTCTCTAAGTCAAACCCAGACTGATAAATGAGCATTCTGTTCACAGTAAACATCTCCTGTATGGGCTGCAAATGCTTGTGGCCTGCACACAGTGTCTCCACATCTCCTCCAGAAGCATCAGGGAGAAAACTCCCCACTCAATGTTATTGTTATTTCACATGTGAAAAAAGTCTAAGATATCCCAAACCAAGAAACAAATAGCTTCTTGCTTCATCTTTAAGATTGTGAAATGGAGAGGTAAAGAAGTAAACCTGTCAGAAGAAGCTTTTCCAGTGAGTAGGAGGAACAGAAGTGAAGTTTGCTGCTAAGTTATCTGCAAAAGTAACACGATAGAGGTGAACAAGAGGAGCTAATTTTCAAGGATATTTAATAGGGGACACTAAAAATGCATTGACTGTAGGGTATTTCTCAGCAAAACCAAACCACATAATGAGGCTACAATGAAATCTGTTCTACTGTACTAAAATATGACTGCTATGATTTTTGTTTTACTGTATTAAAGTATAAAACTTCACTTTACTATTCCAGTTTTATTTCACACAGTTTCAGATGGAAACTGTATTATGCACACAAAGAAAGAGTATCTGCCTGCAAAGGGAAACTTTATAATACAGTGCCAATAGGTACAGCAGATTCATACTTCTATCAGAAAGGCCATTTTAGTTTAGAAATACCAAGAGAGGTTTCAATGAGAAACTAAAAAGGAAGACCAATTAGCAATTTGTTCAGGCAGAAATGATATCACGTTTAGAAAAGAAAAATGCTTTTCTCGGTCTTCCATGAGTCATGGATGAAATTGCAAGGTGAAGAAAGACTGGCCTGTTCTTTACATAACTGCTACATATTCATCCTCCTCTTATGACTTTATCACAGAAAATCACAGTTAAGCTGTAAATTTTAAAGAAAATACCCTAAAAGGAAAAGGCCCTTTAGAGGTGAAGAGTTAAAAAAATCAGTAAAAAAATATATGCCTGTTGGTAACATTTTGGATTCAAACCCTTCCTGCTTTGCAAAAGGATAGCACAGTCCTTATGACATTAAAAATGATACCCTTTTATCAGCTGTTTATTATTGTTGCCTCTAGATTGGAACCCTCAAAAAGGAGTTAGGGGATTAAGCACAGTGGTGTCTGAACAGGATTATGAGAAATAAATCCTGTGTCTATCAACATGATAGCCACATCTTCTTTGATTTCCAATTTACTTGGAGATCAGAAGAATGTAAAGGAAAGCATCTAGAAATATCTTTCATGCATTAGAAAAGCACCCCAGAATGAAAACCTGTTTCTGTACCATCGCCTGTGGTGGCTGCAAAAAACATCTGTGAGCAGGTCAATCTGTGAAAAACAAGTTCTTTGGTCAGCACAGGTTTAAAATAATTTTTGTGTTGATCTTGTCTCCTGTTGAGTGAGTTTGCCTTTGTGTTTTCCTTCTGGATTTGGAGTCACATGTATAACTGCCAAAGTTTTCTTGCCAGATGAAGCCTGGGAAAAGGACTGTTTTTTCCTGTTGGTGTAGTAGATTGTTGTGATGTCATCTATAAATATATCTGCTACAAGACACTGCAGGGATAGGAGAGAAAAGCTAGATGTCTTAATTGTGCTGTTACAAACTCCCATATGTTAATGTTTAAAAATGTTAGCATTTGAAGATGTTTCAGAGGCCATGTCCTTAGAGATTTTGGCAACACAAACAGAAATCACTTAGAAGGGGATTGATGGTGATTGACAGTAGGGCTGGAAGGAAGCAATTAATAAGAAGGTCTTAGAACCTGTAGAAACCTTCTTTTCAAGGAAGCACAATGACATGTGCTGAATCCAAGAGTAATTAAATACTAGCAAACTTTTGTGTAAGTTGAAGCAGAAATTATTTCCCAGGTCTGACTGGAAATTCTGCATGTATACTGGAACAATACTGAATCCCCCTAAAATCTGCTTTTAGGACCATGTCCTTCAGACATATACAGACAAAAAATGGAAGGCAGCTTATGTGTGTGTCCATCTCTAGTACATTCCTTAGTTAAGGGAGATGATGTCTGGGGCTCTTAAGAAGTCCAAAACTCTAACACAGTTCAAGAGAAGAATCCAGTGCTCATGGAAAAGTGAAGGAAGTACTATTTAAATATTATCTTTACTACCCTAACCAGCAAAATCCTAGCTATAAGGTTCAAAGGTCTGTCCTATTCATTACCTGTTGCAATAAAACTGAATTTGGTCTTCATCAACAAGGTCACTTGGGCCTTTGTGTCTTCAGACATGGCTCAAGGAAGAAAGGAATTACCAGTACCAGAACCTGATCAGGGTCAGGGATGTCTTGAGAAATTTTCAGCCCATACAAGTCCATTAGACCAAATGGGATATATCTTAGTGTGCTGAGTCAACAAGCTTATGTCATTGCAAGGCCACTCTATTATCTTCCAAAATGTCATGGAGATCAGGAGAGGTCTCCAATGCCTGGAGAAAGGCATCATCATAAAAAAAAAGGCAGGCTGGTCATCCCCACTTTGTCCCTGGGAAAATCATGCAGTAATTCCTCTTAAAGCCATTGGTGCGCACACAAACACTAAAAAAAAATAAAAAGCCATTGGGAACAATGGGCATGAATTTATCCAGGTTAAAAAACAGCCTAAACAACCAGATTACCTTTGTGATAAAATGACTAGATTTATGAATGGAGGACAGTGGATGTCATTTACCTTGGCTTTAGCAATGTTTTTGACATTGTGCCTCCCTCAGCATCCTTGTATCCAAGCAATGATGTTAGAATCTAGATAGATGAATTACTAGATGATGAAAATCTGTTTGGATGATCAGGTTTAGAGGACAGTGATATGCTGTGGGGGACCCAATAGCAGCCTTCCAATACCAAAAAGAGGTTGCCAAACAGATGGAGCCAGGCACATTACTAAGGTATGTAGAAGAAGAACAGGAGATGATAGTCATAAACAAGCAGAAGATGTTATGATTTGGATAAAAGGGAAACAAATCAAAGTGAAGATAATTAAGCACTGGAACAGGCTGCTGAGAAAAGCAATGGAATCTCCGTCCTTGGAGAACTGGAAAAAAAAAAGACATAAGCAATCCTGTCTGAACTCTGTACTGACCCTGCTTTGAGTGGGCAGCTTAGATGACCTCCAAAAATTCCTTACAACTTGAAGGATTTTATGATTCAATGACTAAATAAAAATCTCCTTGTTCCTGCACTCATTCATACCTACACTCACAGGGAGGATACTCAAGACTTAATTCACCTAATTGCAATAAAACCCCTAAAATATTTATAAAAAGCATTTCAATTGTCTCTAATAATCCAATTCCTACAGAGACAAAGAGAACTAAGAATAAATATAAATTTAGAAAGCAATACTTACTGTTACTTGTCGGCTCAGGAAACCCAACATTCTGGCTGTTCCAACTCTTGTTTTCTCCAAGCTGAAACAGGTAGAAAAAAAATAAGTAAAGAGCAAACTACTCCTTAAACAGAACATTCATATTTATAAATTAGTTGAAAGATCCTATAAAGGATGACTTGGAATTGCCACATCTGCTCACAAAATTTTGTTAAGACATCTTAATTTTTGCCTAAAATAGGTTCTTTGAGAAATGAATACCCTTCATGAATAAACATTAACAACTATTGCCTAACACTGAAATATAAATGTTTCCCCAAGGATTAGGCTTAACTCAATGTTACCAAATCAGAGTTAAAATCAAATGTTTTATGCAGCTCTCAACTGAAAACATACACATACAAGAGAGAAATTATATTCTAAAATGAGAAGATCCTAATATCTATCCATGAAAGAATGCGTAAACACTACAAAGTATTTTGGGTATAATTTTAAAATATTTACTTGCTAGGAATACTTTTAGTTACTGAAGTGGACACAATAGAAAAGATTGCAATTTTCCATTTGATTTTAATACACAGACTTCTTTGAGGAAGCTAATTGCCTTCAAATTAATTATATTATGTTTAACACCGGGTATTACTCAGACACAGAAAGGGAGCAATTAACACAGAAGTTAAAAATGGAGCCATTCCTGAAGTCTCCACAGTAATTAAGATGGTAGTGTTTTAGAGTTATGTGTAAATGTGGACAAAAACGTACGAGCTTGTTCATGAAATAGGAGTTATTGACAATCAGCTCTATGAATGCAAAGCCAATGACCCTTTTCAGATTTCACTGGGGTTACCCCTTGTCCTATCCTTATATGCCCCTGTAAAAAGTCCCTGTCCCTACAAGTTTTTTGAAGGCCTCCTTTAGGTACTGCAAGGCTGCTCTAGGGTCTCCCTGAAGACTTCTCCATGCTGAACAAGCCCAACTCTATCAGCCTGTCTTCATAGGAGAGGTGCTTCAGAGGGCTGAAGCACCTTTGTGGTCCTTCTCTGGAGTGAGTCCAGAGACTCACTCCAACAGGTCCGTGCCTTTCTTATCTTGAGGACACCAGAACTGCACACAGCACTCCAGTATAGGGGGAGAATCACCTCCCTCGACCTGCTGGTCACGCTCCTTTTGATGCAGCGCAGGAGACGTTTGGCTTTCTGGGCTGCGAGCACACACTGCCGGCTCATGTTGAGCTTCTCACTGACCAACACCTCCAAGTCCTTCCCCTCTGGGCTGCTCTAAATCCATTCTCTGCCCAGCCTGTATTTGTGCTTCTGATTCCCCCCACTCATGTGCAGGTCCTTGCACTTGGCCTTGTTGAACCTCATGAAGTTCAGCCACCTCTCAAGGGTGTCAAAGTCCCTCTGGATGGCATTCTTTCCCTCCAGCATGTCGACCGAACCTCATAGCTTAGTGTCATCATCAAAATTGCTGAGGGTGCATTGAATCGCACTGTCCATGTCACTAACAAAGATGTCAAATGTTCCAATGCCAACCCCCGATGAATGCCACTTGTCACTGGTCTCCACTTGGACACTGAGACATTAATTGCAACTCTGAGTGCAGCCATCCAGCCAACTCCTTATCCACCAAGTGGTCCGTCTGCTAAATCCATGTCTCTCCAGTTTAGAGACAATGATGTCATGCAAGACAGCATCAAATGCTTTGACAAGTCCAGGTAAATGATGTCAGTCACTCTCCTCTTATCCACCAACACTGTAACCCCATTGTAGAAGGCCACTGAATTTGTCAGGCACAATTTACCATTAGTGAATTACTACTACTTAGCATGTAGGCTTCACCAGTCACTCCTTTTTTCCCATGTGCCTTATCATAATTTCCAGGAGGATCTGCTCCACAATATTCCCAGGCACAGAGATGAGACTGACTGGCCTGCAGTTCCCCATGACTTCCTTTTTTATTTCTTAAAAATGGAGGTTATATTTCCCCTTTTCTGGTCGGAAAAGAGACTAGGCTGCTATGACTTCCCAAATATGATGGACAGTGGCTTGGCCATTTGAACTGCCAGTTCCCTCAGGACCTGCAGATGCATTTCATCAGGTCCCATGGGCTTGTGCACCTTCAGATTTTTTCAGTGGTCTAGAACCTGATCTTCACCTACTGCGGGCAGTTCTTCATTCTCCCCGTCCCATCTTTGCCTTCTGCAATTTAGGCAGTGCGGCTGGAGCACTTGCCAGTGAAGACTGAAGCAAAAAAGTTGTTGAGTAACTTGGCCTTATCCATGCCTCTGGTAATCACATCTGCTTCCTTCTGGAGGGGCCCCACATTTTCTCTAATCTTCTTTTTATCACCAATATACCTGCAGAAGCTTCCCTTGTTGCCCTTGATCTCCCTGGCCAGATTTAATTCTTTAGCTTTCCTAACCTGATCTTTATCTTTCCTAACCTTGGCAAGCCTATGACCAAAGATGCTTTTCCCTTTCTCTGACAGATAAACTCCATCAGCCCACAATAGAACAGGTTTCTCAAAGTGAGTCCAATGGTCCAAGTAGCTGAACCCCTGCCTGTGGTACCCGTCCTGTAACCATACATTGATTTGCCAGATTTGACTGGCCCTTTGAAACTCCCTCCTTTTGACTGGGAGGATTGATGAAAAAACTGCCTATGCTCCAGAGTCCCTTAAATATATTTGTATTTACCACTGTCTGTTACAACAGCATGTTTTTTGTCATGAATCCATATTGTGCATCCATAACATGACAGGAAAATCAGCACAAGTGTGCCGCTACAAAACGAGAATTTCCAACTCTCCTTATTAATCTCTTTTTACTGTTTATTAACTTGAGTGTGATGAGGAATTTAAGAAGAATTCACTTAGTTATCCTTAGTGTTGCTGTCTCAAATGAATGCAATCTATTTTGGTTTTCCTCTGCCTAAGAGAATTAAAGTGACAGGAAGAAATTAAAAGATAGAAGCATGAAAAAGTAAAGACATCACAACTCTCCATTTTCACACACAGAACTGACATCCTGATAGCTGCAAAAAGTCTCTCAGGGCACTATCAAACTTCTCTCCTCAGGGTTTCACACAACCATTACAGATTTCTTCCAGCAATCTGATTACCTCAGAAAAGAGCAGAGACTTTATATTTTACATTACCTGGATTACCTATTTACCCGTGCTGCCATTAGCACCATGCATGGCTGTTGTAAAACTCTTAGGTCTTCCTTAAAACAATTAATACAGTCACATTTTATGCACTGAGGTTAAGGAAAAAACTCTGATTTTGGTTCTGCTTTTTTTGAAGGGAGGAGGAAGGGGATGAAAGAATGTGGGGGGTGCAGGGGATAGAGAAGTTGCCTTTTTTAAAAGCATCAAAAATAACACAAGTGAAAATTGTCCATTTAGATGCCAACCTGATACATCAGCTAATCTATGTTAGGCCGCATTTTGGAGTCAAAGAGAGAAACAAGTATCTTTTAATGGTACATCTTTATTGTGCAACTTTTATGGAAGGAATTTTGCAATGCTCAAATTGGTAGACATCTAAGGCTATTTTCTCTCTTCTCCAGCACAGTATCTGCAAATATGTTCAGTCTATTATATACAGAAGATAAAGCCAGATGTTCTAGATATTTTATGTCCTTAACCCCAGCAAAGCTATAAAAATTTGTTCTATGATCTTGAATACCGCCACTACATAAAATTTGAGTAGTTCACATTTTTTGGATACTGCATCATGTTTGCTCATTGTGTTCAGTATAACAGCAGGCCATTGTATGCTTTCCTATCAATTCTAAGATATCTATGTCTGCAAGCATGTAATTAAACCTTTTTTTTTTTTTAAGATAATGCACTTGTAGGCAATAGTTTAATAAATGCAGGGAAACAAAGCAGCCACTCTATTTTTTTAATATAACCACAAGTTTCCACTGCATAGAGCTCTCCAAAGCAACTATGTTGTAGGCTGAAATTTTTCAGGCTTTATCTCTGAAAATTAGTGAGTAAAAATAGTTCAGCCAGTTTGAAATCCAGGAATGAAAACCTGTGTTTCTCTCTTTTGATTTGTTTTTTTAAAAAGCCCTTTGGCCAAATTGGCAGTGAAGAAAAACTGATAGAAAGTATCTTCTAGAGCAGAAAAGTCTCAGCATTCTGGTGAAATGAATTATCATTTGACTCTGTCATAAGCCTTTTTAAAACAGCTATGAATGTAGTGTCTTCTCACTAGAAACACCATCTAGGTTCCAAGTATCTCAGTTTAGAGTATGGCACGCTTGTTGAAGACTAAGTACAGTTAAGAACAGTGAAGAACATAGTGACAGTGAGTATGACTAGCATACATCGAGCAGCTCCTCTTAAAGAAGAGAGAAACAGGAGATGCAACACTAAGACAAACATTGACTACCATGGCTGCTTCACGTATAAAAATTACTAACATCATTCCTCTCAATGCTCTCTGGATGTCCAAAATGGATTAAGAGCAAGACGTACATTCATCCTGATTGGTAAGTAGAAATAGGCACACATGTCACATGTACACTTTTGCATACAGACTATCCTATGGAACTACATTACTGTTTGTAATTACCCCTAGAATAGTACACTACTAAGTGTAGCTATAGAGCTATAGCTAAACAAAGGCTGATCTCTGACAAGCAACCTCCTAAAAGAGGGGGTGCACATGGTTAAGCTTCCACTCTTACTAAGTGACTAGCTGAGACAGCTAAAACTCCAGACAAGGGTAAAATGTGGGCATTTTAACAACTGATCCTTACCTTCTCTGGTTGGTCTTGAAGAGGAGTAGAGGCTTTGTAACCCAGCTGTAGCAACATTGCTTCTGCTGCATTTCTTTTAGCTATTTTCTTGTTTGGGCCTGTTCCAGTAGTAATATCATTGCCTACTTTCACCTTAAAAAGAAAACACATCATGATCACGACAAAGGTAAGACTTCTTAATATCAGATGTAATAATCTTGCTGACCTACCAACAACTGTCAGCCTCTTTTGATGAAAATGCAATCTTGAAAAAGTCACTGCAAAAGGGGACTACAATACTGCTTCACATGGAGGAGCTGGATGAGATTTTTCAGAAGGTCCCCAAACTCATACCTCAAAGAGTTACATTTTTCTGTCTCTCAATGTACACACAGTTGTCTCGCTCTTTCACCAGCCTCTGTCAACCCCATTCTCCCTGCTGCACAACTCCCCCACTCTTTCTTAACGCAGGAAGGAAGCACTGTAGGACCTGTGCTTCCTCTTTCTTGTAGAAGCGCTGCCTTCTTGTAGAAGCTCCCCCGCATTATCAGGACAGTATCCAGAACAACGGAGAGACAAACAATGACCTGGAGATTTAAATTACAGTGGTTTCTAAAGAAAGATGAATACCACGTTCATGTTCCTCCACTTTGTTGCACGCGCTGCAAGGAACATGGGGGCTGGGTCTGCTTTCTTCAGCACTTACACCTGACAAGCTTTTATCAAAATTGTCTTTGGAAAGAAGTCTCCTCATTGGACCTGTGGCCTGTACTGCACACAAGGGTTTTGACAAACAGGATGCCTTTCATAAACCTGGGAGAAATTAAAATCTCAAAATAAAGGCAAATTATAGACAATGGATATCCACAAAGAGTGAAACTCTAGCTTATTCATAGAATCATGGAATGGTTTGGGTTGGAAGGGACCTTAAACATCATCTAGTTACAGCTCCCTGACATGGGCAGGGACACCTTCCACTAGACCAGGTTGCTCCAAGCCCCATCCAACCTGGCCTTGAACACTGCCAGGGATGGGGCAGCCACAGCTTCTCTGGACAACCTGTGCCAAGTGCCTCACCACCCTCACAGTAAAAAACTTCTCCCTAGTATCTAATTCCTTGGCTTTTAAATTCTTGAAGCTGTATGAGTCTGTTTTGTGAATTAGTGCTGTCATTGCTATTCACTTATGCAATATTCATAGCTCTTGGATAGGTATATTTCAGTCTTTTCATTAAGCCATTTTATTTGCCAAATTTTTTCTTAAGATAGTGTATTACCTCAAGGTGCGTTAAAAAAAGGAAACCAAAATAAAATAAGAATAATAAAATAGCCAAGGTAATTTGAATGAAAGAAACCTCAGAGGTTAAAGACCTAAAACAGTCTGGAAGGAGCTTTAAAAATATTGTAAAAGTAGTCATGCACTTGTTAAATAAATAATAGCAATAAATTTAGTAATTGATGCTATACAATAACTATTCACTTTCCTCACATTGCCATTTATATATTTTCCTCATAGTTTTCATTTTTATTTACTCAAATACTTATTAATTCTAAACACAGAGGATGTAAATAAATAATAGTGATCACAAATATCCTTTCTAAATACATATAGAATTATGCAAAAAAGCTTTGTCTACCTAAACCAGAAACATTAATAAACTCAAAATATAAACCTTACCTTCTATGCAGTTCCACGACCACAATTAAAAAATAGCCTTATGAGTTTATATGCAATAAAATTGAGGGACTTTAACGGGACAGGGCAAAAAGATAATTTATAACATAGCTCACAATAAATCAATACGCTGCTATTTCTCAGACCTGTAAAACTGGTTTAGCTATTATTAAAACCTCTATCAAGGATTAAAGGTCTGACTACAAAGAGAAAGAGCTTTCTGAAATTAACTTTGGGAACAGAACACCAACTAATGTCATCAGAGGTTTTCTTGTGTTTATCTAGTAGTCAGGACAAGTAATTGGATCCATTTCATCACATCTAAACTTGCTCTTTGTGTGACAGATAAAAATGAACATATTATCTCTGGATATTTTACTTCCACATTCAATTAAATTAAATGAAAACATTGTTTAAGTAGTTTATACAAAGGCTTTTTATCCTGATAAGGTTCTTTGCATGTCATAATGAATTCACTGAGACTTCCTGAAGGTGGGAGAAACAGCAGTATGATTTGAGTGTGAAAATATTACAAAAGGGGAAAAAACAGAGCTAAAGTGTTTAAAAGTATTCATAACAAAGCAACTGTTGTATGGAATTTCTTTGAATTTCCTAAGTCTTCTTAGATAGGGGAGACTTCTACATGTTCACTGCTTTTAAGATCCTTTTTTTATTCAAACCAAGGATTTTGCCACTATTGAGACTCCTCCAACAGAAAAAATATTCCCAGCCCATCTTTCTAATACTGGACTGTGTTGCACAGTCATCTTCTGATGCTTCAAGCAACCATCTCTAACTGTGCACGCCCCCATGGGAGTGTAAGCATGGAAAAAGGGACTGTCTGTGACAGAATTACTCTTTTTTCAAGTACTTTCACGTAGCATAAAAAGTTGGAAATCCAAGTTTATATTCATAAATCAGTTTCTGCAACAAAAGGATCCCAATATCTTCTTTTGCTTCAGAGACAAACATATCATCAAGAAAGACCACTGAGATCCAAGGAAATTAAGATTGCTAGCCTATCTTGATAAACATGAAGGAGGGACTCAAAGATTTAAGTGAAAATATAATTAATTTCCTGGGGAAGGAGATGCTGGAACATCATAAATTCTGCTTGTGATCAGAAGTGACATTTTGGTGTGGTCTGTAGACAACAAGTCAAAATATGTTGAGGCATGCTGTTCTGAATTGTTCTGACACAAAACTACCCATGAGTGAAAACACAAGAGTAAAGAATTCTTTCCTGCTCCTAATCTTTCTCAACCTGCTTTTGTGCTAACAAAATATCAAGGCTATATCAAATCTTTGTACATGTTCTTCATTTGAAAATTAAAGCACCTACTGTTTCTGTATTAGGTCCAGAGCCTTTAACTGGACGGGCTAAACCACTGGATGTAAGGCTGGTTTTGTGATATTTCAGACATGAACAAAGCCACAAAGAAACTGAAAATCTGAAAAGATTTATAACACTTTTTAAAACTGAAATGCTTGGTAATAGGGAGATACTCATATCCATATTTCAGAATACTTGACTGTATTGCAATCCTCTGATTAGCAACACCCCATTTTTTTCAAAAAGACAAGTAAAAGTAAATAAATCCTGAACCACCAGAGATAAAGACAAGTGATAAGACCACCAGGTGTAATAAAAATAAGGAGTATAAAAAATGCAAAACCACTACAACAAAAGCACCTAAAAGGCACGTAACCTAATTGCTATTTGTTTCAGAAGAAAGTTTAAACAGGCTTTCTGATACTGTATTTCTTGCGTAAGTGACCATAAAGCAAAGAAAGAGCTAAACACAGAGGGATCCATTTCATATCATGCCACCATTTTGCTTGAGTTTGAACATAACATAGCAAGAGCATTATCTCTAATGTGATGGCAGATGATACCTGCATAACAAATTCTCGACGGCGAGGCATTCCTCTCTCTGAAAGAAGAACATACTCTGGCTCCTTCTCCTTTTTGGCCTGTTGGATCTGAGCCAGACGACTGATAGGATTCATTCCTTGACCATATTCTGGTCCAGTCTAAAACAGATTTAAAAGAAAGAACCGTTATTTCAGCATATATCCATACAACTATTATGCTGCTGCAATAAGTCATTTACGAGGGTTACCTCTTCTTTAATACTGCCTTTGAGAAAATAAGAAGTAAAATTCCCATCATCTGATCTGTTCTGAGACAGAAGGTAAGAATCCTTAAGCACAAAACTGTTGCAAAAATTATATCTCTGTTGTCTGCCACTGTTGAAGGTAGTGTGGATAACTAGTATCTGCAAGCTGCTAATACCCTCATGTCTCTATGGAGGTCCTATTGGGATGGATGAAAATTAGTGGGTCCATCAGTCAATTGCATCTTATTGCGTTATTTCTATGACCTTTTCCCTTAACACCTTAAAACAGGTTGCTGCAGTGCTAGAGTATGCCATATGCTGAGGAGGGATTTACAAGGGGACTTAAACAGATTTGCCATTTAACAAGGAAGCTGCCTCTCTCAGCTTTCCTGCCTTCTTTCTCAACACTTTTGCCTTCCATTCTACAATGCAACTAAAGGTGTAGAAGGTTTGCTCTGTTTGTGTTATAGGAATTCACCCTCACAAAACTGTTACGTAGTGAAGCTAGAGAGGAGTAACTCCAAGGGTTAGAAATGTTGCATAGTGTGAGCCACCCACAAAGTATTCCAAATGCTTTACAGATGAATCCTTACAATAACATGTCAAAATGTATGCTTGTTGGAGGAACTAAACTGATGGAGGGAAGACAAAAGGACTGAGAGACTGATCTGTCCAAGATTTCACAGAGAGGTGAAAAACTGCAGTCCTTACAAAACATTTCGTTTTGAAGTCCTTTTAATATGTTATTAATCACACAGCAAATGCTCTCTGGATGCAAATAGCTATGAAAATATTTGTTTGCAGTTCCTACAAAGAAGAAATTAAGATCCAAAAAAAATTATCTGAAGTCATATTTAACTAATTTATATACTATAACACAAAGAATGAACTTGTAAATGTAAAAGGCATTTGAATGTAGAATTGGTTTTATGTTATTGAGTTACTTCCTCTTCATGAAGCCATTTGCAGGATAACATCAGCATTCATGCTTGTTTGAGCTTCTCAAATAAGAACAAACAAGTGGTCCAGAACCTAAAGAGATGATCAGCAACTGAAGGCAAAAAACCAGAGAGGGATATTATATTAAGAAAGCTGTGCAGCAAAACCTACATAGTGTAACTGCTGAAATTGTTAAGAGAAGACGTAGGTGACAGAATCAAAACAATGTCCTGCACAAGGGTAGCTGTGTGGGCAAGAAGCCAGGCAGAGATAAAATGCAGAGCAGGCTAAATAAAGTGCAGGCAATAAGATATAGCCTCATAAATATATATAAAAATAAAAATAAGTTAGTGTTGTCACTTTTTTGATGCTCAAAACATATGCAGGTTAATTTAAAAGGAAATGGACATAGTGAAAGGATTTCAGAAGTTTGGCTATTCAAAAAATAAAAACCTTCTACATATCCAGGTTATTCTGACTATTAACATCTCTTTTAATTTGGCAAACTTCAGATAATTCAACGTAAAATTGTAATGGTAAATGGGACTTGGTAATGTGAGGTATTTTTTACATTATTATACCCTTAGCATCTTTCTTGAGAAAATCTTTCCAAAATGAGACTGCCAGAGCCAACAGCCTTTTCAGATCGTGCAGCTGCATTAATGCTGATGGTTTTCCATTGAATAATTTTTTATGTTAACTTTTTCCTGGACGTGTTTGAGAATTAGATCCTCAGAATTAGAGTAGGAGACAGGTATTTAATTAACCAAGCTTGTTTTGACAAATCACTCATTCTGTTTCGAAGGCAGAAGAAAAAGAGATAAAATTTAGGTCCTGAAACTATATTCTGAAGTACAGATTTTGGACATGAAGGTTTCATGTTTTTTCCTGCAATTCTAGTCTCAAGGTTCCTGATCTGCACAGTATGGGGCAAAAGTGACTCTAAAACCAGAGAGAAAGTAAGTATCTCTCCACTGCTATTTACATTGACCTAAAATGAGTATTAAAGTCTACTAATGTGCCCTTACGTATACCAAAATCGCTATCCAACATGGCAGACAATAGAAATTCATGTACAGAGAGTTTAACTACTTCCTCACAAAATGCTACTTCCTAAATTAAATGAAATGGAGCAGATTTCAGCCATTTCTAAAGCCTTGTCTTCTACATTGAGAAAATGACAAGTTAATCTAATTAGCTGCTCAGTACTGAGACCAGGTAGTGATGATTCACAAATACTTGGACACTGTGTGGCTGCTTTGTTTAGATCATTTGGAAGACTAATTACTTCAGACGACCCTTTGGTTTTGTATGAATTTAGGATGAGTAGACAAACCACGGCTAGTCACCACAGACTGACTGAATTGTAGAAGTAGCAATAAATTACTGCCACTAAGAATAAAAGCACCACTTATGAGGCTTGAGCTCTCAAAAATCAAGAGCCTCTAAAGGAAGCCTCATGAGTGCAGCAGGAAGCATATTAATAGCCTCTGAGAAGGGTATGTTTTAATGGAGAGAGGGTGCAAAGTCTGCAAGTTCTCCATTGGCCGGTCTCCCATTTTCAGCATTTTCTATCTGTATTTAAGTGCCAGAGAGCATTTTCAAGCACACGCTAACTTTAACACAGACACCTGAAACAGAAAAAGTCCTTTGGCACTTGGCAAAGTGGTGCAGCAGGCTGAGATGTCCACATTCTATTTCAAAACTTTCAAAAATTAAATTGAAGCTGAAGCCACAAAACTCCCAAATCCAGCTCCACAAGGGGAGGAAGCTGGACTGTGCACTGTTTCTCTGTATATCTAGTATTTCATATATCTTTCTCCCTCTTTAAACTGGGGAGGGGGAAATGATCAGGAAGGGAACCACCACATATGCTTGGTGGCGTCTCCCAAAGACAATGCTAAAACTTCACATGGCTGTACAGAGCTGCTTGAAGGGTTTGATCCCCCACTAGACTTGGACCAAACCCCTGAAGACTTCAGTGATGTGAGCTCAGCTCTTAAGCTGAGCACTTTACAAGCTATATTATGTGTGAGAATTTCACAGCAATCTCAGAATTTAAAAAAGCACAGGCGTATTGGCACAGGCAAACAACAATATTGACAGAAAATGAGAAAAAGCCTTTACTGATTTTAAATCTGAGTAACTGTTACCGTCTGAGCAAACATTCTTAATTCTGTCAAAGATGGACACATACCTTCAATATTGTTTTTGGACGCTTTTTAAAGTAAAGTTTTGGCTTTTCAATCACAGGAAGCGGAGGAAGTTTCTTAAGTTCTTGTAGGACAGCTATTGCGGCACGTTTCTTTGAGAGTTTCTTACTGTTGCCTTCTCCTTCTGCAGTGAATTCACCTACTGTAACTCGTGTAACAAAACTCTTCATATGAGGAGGTCCACTTTCTTTAATCACCTTTTAAGTGAAAGTAACATTGACTCAAATCACTCTACAAGAATATAACTTGTTTGTATCTCTGCAATGTACTTACTACTAATGCAGTTTTCCTACTAATTGAAGGCATTAGATGAATGTCTGTAAAATGTGGACAATTAATTACAGTATCACACTTGAGGACAGAAAATTAAGGCTAATTAGATAAAGCAAATCTAACGATCATGTTCAATGTTTCCCAGAAAGTACAGCAGACCTATGTTTTCAACAAGATGTATACAATAATACAACACACAACAATAAGGCATATGTAGACCAAGGCTGCTGTTTTTTACCTTGCAATGTGTTTCATATACTAAAAAAAAATTCAATTCATGAAGGTCCACTGCACTTTGGCTATTTCTTTACATAAAACATGTTCAATACTAGATTTATATGGCATCACTTCAACCCATTCATCATTTTTTTCTATTATAATTGAAACTTAGGATGTTCATGCACAGTCCCAAACTTCAGTGTGAAAGGCGTGTATTTTTATGCTGTCCTGGCTGCCAGAGTACAACTCAGAGCAATATCCTATACATTGGAAAGCCTGCCACATTCTCACCTCCATGACTCTCAGCTGTCCTTCCCAACAGTACCAAAAGGAAACATCAAAAGAGCCACCACAACTCACACAAAAGCCATCAGTTCTGAAAAGATTCATTTACTCATTCCCTTCCAAACACATCAGGATGACACTGAATAAAAACATTTGATGTACTTCTCCAACGTTAAAAGTTACAGTAATTTGGAAAAAGGAAAAAAGAAAAAGTTCTGAATGTACCTTCCTTTAGCTCTTTTTCTGTCTTCATTTTTACATATACACACAATCTCCTTTTAAGAGGCTGTACTGTTAGGACGCATTCACCAACAAATCACAGCACTACAAGTGTTAAGGTAGCCATCTCTTCATGTATGCACCCTATACTGGTCTGGACAATGTCTATCAGGAATTAGAGACCTCACTTGGGAAAAGGTTCAGTTATTTTGTTTGATGGGCGGAAGCAGCTACCTAATTTAATCTTTGTTACATGTAATGTGCATAAGGAGACATTAGAGCATCTGACAGGCATCTCCTTGTATCATCTTCAAAATCAATACAAATACATATGTTTTCAGTAGGCAGAATTACATCAAACCATTTGTTGAAGTGTAATGCTTGAGTGCAAGGGAATTGAGGTGAAGGTGCTACGGCCTTCTTGGTGTAATAACTACATTTTTAACAGGCTGAAACCTTCAACCTTAATATTATTACAACATGTTTTGTATTAAAGTTCTTTTTTATCAAGGTCATGTCCCTTGCATTATTTAGTTTTGCTATTACACTGTAATGAGGTCTCCTTAGGCTTGTATTTCTTTTTTAAGCTCTCTTTTGTGGCAACTTCACCCAGTATATACAATTACCACAGCATTTATCACAAAAAAGACACAAAATGAAAATTAACAGACAACTTTGTCCACATTTTCCCAGAATAAGACGACATCTGTGCCAGCATGGGATTTTGCTGTTGTAGTCCAGCAGTGTTCCCACACTTAAGATTCCAGGTAATAATTTCAGAAGTGTTTTCAAGATTGCCTCACTTGAAAGGTGCCCACTAATGTTCACCATGTGAGAAGGCAGTGGTGATTTTGAGACCCAAGCTGAGCCTCAGGAAGCTTCACTGCCTGCATCAGAGCTGGGACAAGCTCAGCACCAGGATCTCCTGCTCTCAGGCACAGTTGGGCTTCATATCAGTGCTGAACATCTTCATTGCACTGCAGTGTTTCCCTCTCTGTTTTAAAGGCATATCTAAATCCATCCCTGGACATTGCTATCCAGGTATTACAACATGTTGTCCAGAAAACATGGGTAAATTAACCTTACTAAGGTCCTTAATCTTTTTGTGGTCTTACTAATACCATTATATAGGTGCTTCTACTTACATGCAATATAATGTATTAATAAAACATATAAGAATGTCTATAGTGATCAGATTAAAAAGGGCAAAATAACATGCTTAACAAATATAATTGCTGAGTTCCTAAAATATAACTTTCATATAAATTTTCTCATATTTGTATAAATGCACACAAGTATATATGTGTATGAAGAATGTTAATACAAAACCTGATCATATTTTCATATACATGAAAATGTATTTCTTAATATAAAACTAATGTATTCTGGTGTGTTTTTCATCTTTTAAACATTTTAGTATGTGACACAAGGTAAATAATTGCCTGGAAAACATTCAAAATTGTTTCTTTGTTAGTGTGTAAATGAAAAAAAGTCTGTGTTGTCAACGGAATGAACCCCATAGGATTTAGATGGGATCTGGATCAAGCTAACCATCCAAATTTGGTAATTTAGCAAAAATAATATTTACCTAACAGCATTTTTGGTTAGCCCCAGGTTTTAGATCTTTTTACTCCACATGATTTCAAACAGTTGTTCTGTAAGCCTTGGGACAGAAAACACTGAAAAGAAATTCAGCCTTTGCTGTCCAAGAACACTATATGCATTAGTACATTAAACTATGTCCTCAGTTGAAAGATACGACCCGTGGACCAAGTCATGGCTAATTTAAAGCTGAGAATTTGATTAAAGGTGACAGTTCAATACACTTTTCTTTTTGTATTCCACAGATTTAAAGAATAACTCCAGGAAGAGAAAACACATGGGGCCAAAACACATCTAAGGTCAAGTTACATCAAAAGTGAATTTGGCTCAATTTAACGAATCATGCTGACAAATGAAAAACAGCAGTACAACTACAACGAAAGAGCAATGATGGTTTAGTTATTAATGAAACTCCAGGTAGGAAATTCAAAAGATTATGACAAGATTAAATGGACATAAAAAGAAACCAATAATGGAGTAGTCAAAAAGCAGGTCAACAAAAACATGTCACCTATATCCAGTGATTATTAAGAAGTTTCAAAATACCAATATATTAATATATTTCCATATGCTGTGCAGGCATACCAGATTTCCCCGGTTAAAAAAGAAAAAATAAGCCTGTATGTTTTATTAAAACTGGAGTAAGGAACGGTGACTGACCATCATGCAAAACCTGAGCAAGAGCTATTCAGTATGTCCATCATCCAACCTAAAAGCCTTAATCCCCAGGAGAGAAGGAGCTTGATGGGTGTAAGACTGCCTGCTGAGAACTTGCTCAGACTCCCAGCATCGGCAAATTGGTCAGTTCCTGTTTTTCAAAATATAGAATCTCTGCTTTACTGTGATAAGACTGGGACACAAGGAACTGCAACTCTTTTTTTCCCAGAACACTGGAAGGGGATGGAGGAGCAGAAAATCTACCTGTTCAGGCACTCTATCGCCTCACTACTGATACTGAGAATAAACAAAAAAAATTAATAGTAAAATTACTGTATTTGCTATTCTAAAGAAAGAGCACTCTAATCCAAAGTCATTCTCTCTTTTTTTACTGAAAATAAAACGACAACCTAAAACAGTCCAACATGTTCTAACAATTGAAGCGGTTGACTTCAGTGACGTCTTTTCAGCTCTCCCAACTCCTTACTCACAAATCAGAAACAAAAACCATATATGTTGCAAAAGAACTGAAAAAAGCAAGGTTTTAGCCTACTGCCAAGGAGGGAATAAGAAGCAAAATGACCATTTTTCAGCTATTCTAACTCCTACAGCAATCCGTTTTGTACTCCTCCTTAAAAATTGTTTGTTCACTGAGAGTCACAGAATCATAGAATGATTTGGGTTAGAAGTGACCTTCAAAGTTCACCTAGTCCAACCCTCCTGCCATGAGCAGGGACATCTTCAACTAGATCAGGTTGCTCAGAACCACATCCAGCCTGGCCTTGAATGTCTCCACAAATGCCTTAGAATTCTGAGTTGTGTTTTGACTGAAAAAGGGCATGATTAAAGGTTAGCTAAGGATGCAGCAGTGATGAGTATGCAGTAAAGCTTGTTCTTTGTCAAAATTAAATGCTTTTATTTTAGTTAATAATTTAATAGATAAAAGTTCCTTAAAACTCATCCTAAAGTTCCTAGTCAATTAAAACTAGACATATTACATGAAACAGGGTAGACAGAAGAAACCCACAAGGTTCTGCATGCTCTTGCTATTTTCCACTTCTTGTGCAATTCTGAGGACATGTTTACATAGAACTTTACATATCTTTATGGTCACTGCTTCGTTGCATAACAAAACACTGTTGGAACATTTGCTGAAGCTTTGTCAGATGAAGAAAAGGCAGATCACACACACACACACACACACACACACACACAATGTCAGAGAAATATCAGAGAACGCTTTGATGCTTGCCTGGAATAACACAAGACCATTTGTAAATAAAATCCTATCAGAAACATCAGATCCTGGGGATTACCCACAACTGCTTAGCATTTTTATTGAAATATAAGCCAGTACCAAGTTCAGCCAAAACTATTAAGAATGTCACCTATATAAGGACAGGAAATATAAGGGCAGGAAATAACACAAAACCTGTCAGGAGAAAAGAAACTGCCTTTTTTCAATTTTGGTAATGTTTTTTGGCAAATGACCCATCAGACTTTTCTTATACCAAGTTATCTCTGCCTTCATTGTCTATTTGCCAAATGCTCTCCCTTAAATAAGCTGAAAAAAAGGAATAAAATTAAGAAGACATCTGAAGCACTATCCCTGCTTACTTTCCAATCTCCAAGGTATTCTCTGACCCATGCTCATACACCTCCTTGCAGTTTAGTGTAATGATTTGTATGGAACGATTCAAAATACTTTCTAAATGCTCAAGAAAGAAAATTATGTGTGAAAACCGAAACATTAATTATGAGCTTCCTTTTTGAAACACAGGCATGTGTTTCCATTATGCCTGATCTTACAGAAGAGTTATGTTCTTTATATGTAGCTGCAAATTGAGATCAACACCCCCAGACACCCCAGTTTTATCCTCCAGATTTTACATTCTCTTAACTTTCTAATTACTCTATATCACATAGACCATACATATGAAGCATACAGCCTTTACAAGACTGAGGAATTCCTTAGTCAAGACCAATATTCCTTGTCTCTCTTACCTTCTGAGGGATTTCTCAGATCTCTAAGGTCCAAATATCTCATTTGACATTGGCCAACACTCAGTTTAAATGTAAAACAAACCCCAGAAATATAAAACTTTAAAGTGCCACTTACATCTGCATTTTCTGCATTACAAAGAAAAACAAAAAGGGAAAAAAACGAGCTTGAAGTGTGGTGGCTCCTACCACAACAACGTTGGATTTTTACAACCAGTTTGTGTAAGAACTCTCTCAACAGAAAAAATTTTCCTGCTGCTATTCTCCCGTAGTTAGCTCATTGATAGAATTGGAGCTATTCCAAATATTCTTTATTACTTAAGGTAAACAAAGGTGTCAGAAGCAGGTTCTTGGATAAAATCATGTTAAATGAGAACAAAAAATCATGAAGTCATAAGTAGAAATAGATAAGGAGTCAAACAGATAAAAAGATACTCATGGCTTTCTGAAACCAGTACATCGGATGAAAAGTATTTCAGTGGGAACTTTTAAAGCGTTTAAAGCAGTTAAAGCAGTTAAAGCAAAGACTTTGGCTGACTGTTTTGAAGATTATTTCCAATCAGACTGAGTGTGGCTACTGATGTGGCTACTGATTCTAATCCCACAGCAGATCCTGGAATTGTCTTTCTGCCATACACCCATTTGCAATCAAATATTAGGTCTCTCATATCCTGAAAGAACATCTAATTTAATAGTAAAAACTCAGTGTCTTAGACTTTGATACACTAACATCTTTTTTATTTATAGTTTGCATTAATTCAAATGTAATATTCATAATGTATTTTTAACTGTGTTGAGTTGTAGAGGCACTTTTTTAATTCTTTCTTAGCAAACACACAAGTAATACATACCTCAAAACTGACGGGTATATTGCGCTTCAAAGCAATTTCAAACACTACACTGATCTCAGACTTGTTTGCATCTTTATCTTCTTCTGATTCTTTTCCTGTTTCTCCATTCTGAAAATGAAGAATACATTATCATACTACAATTTTTAGAGGATGTAAAAATACAGTATGCTTCTTCCCTGATTTCTCAGACTTTTGAGACCGCCTGTCATGCTGTATATCAGCCTTTTGTACATCCATCTCAGCACCCCATTATCAGACACCCACTAACTGTGAAGCCATATATAATGCACTTATGCTTCATAATAAACACATACACATTAATTGATAAATTAATGATAGGTGGCAAAATACCTTCTATGGGTTTTAGTGTTATTAATGACATGGGTAATAACCATGTGACACACACTTCTTCTGTCAAACATGAGGATCAAACAGACTCTCTGTGGATAACCCTTTCAAGCAAGGAAGAAGTACAGAGGACTGTATTTCTCTCAGAAGAAATTCAGTGAATCACCCTCATGCTTTGACTAGGTCACCAGGTTACAGGTGTCCTCAGCAGGTCCAGCTGGTTAATGGCCTCTCTATCAACTTCCCTGTGGGAGTTATGACCAGTGTGAAAAGGTAGTGACAGAGAACAGCTTGCTCAACACAGAACATTATTTATTTATCCATAGGAACATAACAAACAGAGAGGCTAAGAAATAAAGCAACAAAAGGCACATGCAAACATTATCTTGACTATAATTCAGCTTTACACTTTAGGTAAGTCTTATTTTTCCTCAGACAAACACTAGCATAGGGATCAGTGAAAGAGTTATTGCCTTCTACATCAACTACCTTTAGGTGTTTGCTCCCCAGGCCACATCTTCCTTAGTTCTCAAAGGTTTCACTTTCAGCTACTTTCAGACTGCAAAGCTCTGAATGTTTCAAACTGAGATCTTTCAACACCCATGTAACCTTGGCCAGGTTCCTAATTTTTTATTAGTGGAGGTAAACATCAAAGAAACTTGACCTAAATTAGGTGGACTCCTACAGAGTTCCCATCTTACATAACAAAGTCTTATCTAAATCTTCAGCCCCAACATAGCTGCACAATGCAGATACCAAAGTTATAAAATAACATTTAAAAGCATTGGGTTCTTCACATTAACAATGGAATTTATCAACCTTTTATCTACCATTAATTAACTCTTTATATATTAATCTGTAAGATAATGCAGATCCAAAAATCCAGCAGTCAGCTACAGCATGCAGACTGGGAGCACTTTTTGTCTCACTAAATGACTGCAAAATCCTGAGCCTGAAAGAGCAATTTCAATCCATAACGTTAACCTGGAGCTATATACAAAACTAAAACCCCAGGACGTACCTCCTGAAAAAATAGGGTGCAGAGCAAAGCAGTAACAAGGGTAGTTAGAATTAAATTATGTCGGGCCTCTACTCATTTCATATAATGAAAAGTAAAGTATCACTTAAATCAAGAATGCAGGTCATTATCTACAGGACAGGCAAAGCATTGATTAGGTTCACTGAGAAAGATGATCTAAACAGAGTTAAAGGGACAATACTTAAAAGTAAAAATACTGGGGGGGAATATAAAGAGTATCAAATGTAAAGAGTGGGCTACTATTAGTTTGGAAGAACCTAAGTGAGAATCTTACCCAGTATTGTATTCTATTAAGCTTGTGTTTTATAATGGACACTGATAAACTGAAAATCTGATAAAAAAAGCTACAAGGATGAACTACTGCTAAAAAACTCCAACTTTACCCCGAGACAGTGTGGAAACAACCTGTTCTATAAAAAGCTTCAAAATTGCTCAAGCAAAATTTGTGAATGTATATGGGGGAGATATTTTTTGATGTCTGCTTGTTACATTTAGCAAAGACAAGAAAATACCAAATAGATAGAAAATGAGGCTAAGTGAATTTAGAAGAAATACTTTGCAAATTATCCTTGAAATGGGGAATACTCAATCACTGGTATAATTTACATAAAATAATACAAAGCCCACTGGACTGTCACCGAGACTTTAAGTCAAGAATGTTTAGGCTTTCTAGCTATGTTCTAGCTTAACCAGATAGGTAGAGTCGAATGTAGAAGTTACAGTTTAAAATTTCATGATTAATACAAACATATCAGTCCACAAAATCCCATATTGTCCCTTCTACCCTTAAATTTATACCATATCTTTGCATATTTTTCCACCAAACTCAGTGAGACAGTTTAACCATGGGTCAAGAATAGGAAGAACCATAGATTTTAAGTTTTAGACCTTAGCACTGAGCAATAATCTTTCAAGCCACAGTCATGTGACTTCCCCAAGGAAGACAAAATATGTTCAGGAGTGTCTCAAGCATTCTGGATTTAAATTTGATCCTCATTCCACAACTGACACTTTAATTGTAAGGCCTTTCTTAGCCTTACATTTATGAAACAACAGAGGTGCTTTGGCAGCACACAATACCTCTTTTATGAAAGCAGGTTCATGTTCACCCATAACCGTGCCCTGTTTGCTGATTGCTTCTTGCTTCTGCTCACCTTATGCTCTTCTACATGTTTGCACAATGAAGTATTCAGACGGCAACACTCCTCTTTAGTGGTTTTATATGCATAAAAGCTTTCAGCCTTTTTTTTTAAAGGAGGGGAAATGGTATATCAAAATCAAAGAATACATAGAAGGCTGTATTTTAAACAAACATAGTTATGAAGGCCAAAAGGTAAACCCATGTATTTACTGTGTTATATTCCATGGATCCCATTCCAGTGAAATTTACTAAGTTACTAATGGGATGTAGTTCTAGATTGTACCAGGTCTGTCCTTGCTGTACTCTCTGCTCTCCCTGGAAGCACACTGGCAGTGACTGAGGAAGAAATAAGCTAAATCTAGTCACGTAATTGAGGCCAGCCAGACTCTAACATGTACTGGCCCTTATCCATGCATGCTGTTTGAGGAACGGTGAATCAGTCATCTCCCATGGCTGACCAAGCAGGTCAATTCTGCTTAAGCAACCAGAGTGTTACTGAGCTCACCCACATCCCATGGCAAAGGCCTATCCCACCACCATGTAGCAGCCCTGTGCAAACTTCACATGACCAGAAGCAGGGAGGAGGCTGAACCCTGGCACCATGAAACACTTAAGCTCTACTTTAACCAACCTCCAGTTCTCTGAAGAGCTACGCTCAACTCCACATGTTGCAGCAATTTGTACTCCACCATGACCTAGGCATAGAGCTGCCTCCAGCCTTCTCCAGTCACCTACACCTCTAACCCATGAAGTAACAGAGCAGTTTTTTCATTATTAGCTCCCTCTACTCTCAGTATAACCAAGCCACTGAGGAGCTGACAGTCTCCTACTTACAGACAGCTGCTACTGAGATCCTAACCATATCCCAAGTGGTCTTCAACTGCTGTACCAGAAACTCACAGTGCTCCCACAGGTTTTACAAGTACAACGTGAATGTCTCAGCTAATCTACAGTATTGTCTCCTGACAACTCTATCCTATTTTTCTCATCGCTAACTGTGGATTTGAATCAGTTTACATACACAACTTACGGTGCTGAAGAGAAGAATGAAGTTACTTCATGAGCTCACGAGACAGGCAATACTACAGCAGGCTACAAGAGTTTAGGAGACTCAATTTTCCATGACTACATTTTCTAAAAGCTTGCACATCTTAAGAGATGCTGATGTAAACAGACACGAAACAGAACTGATTAGGCAAGAATGTTAATTAGAGATTTTATTACCTTTGCTAGGTAAACTGCATATGTACATGGGCTGTGAAAATTCAGTATATAAAGGAGGTCCATATCGATGTTACATATTTACTTCTGTCTACTATTTAACATCCTAAGCACTTAGTGGTTTCATTTCCATTCTGATTAATGGATAACTTGAATTCAAAGATTATTTTGATAAAATATATTATTAATCATACAATTTTTTAAAACTAAGAATATGCTGAGCTAAAAATTTGTTTCAGTAACATGAAATTCCCAGCCAGGCTTGTGCTATGGATTCATTATCAACCAATACGTTTGACTAGAAACCAAAAGAGAAATGAAGGGAAAGAAATGAAGTGAGAAAGGAAAAAGGGATTCCTCCTAAGACTTTACATATTCTTTTTTAATAGTTTTCCTATTTTAAAATAAAACCAATATTAATTCTAGTAAATGATTTTGAAGAGAATTTCCTGATCCGAGAAAATAATGCAGCAAAACAAAGGGGTGAGTCAAACTGTCTTTGGATCAAAAGGAGGATGTAGACACGGGGTGAGGCAGAAAGAACAAAGATTTTTTTCATTATAGAAAATTATTTCCATTCTTAGAACACAGCTCAAAACTCTACACTCTCACTACTCACACAAGACACTGAAGGCACCATTAGTAATGTTTTGTGCTGTGCACAGGAGTTCAACAGGCATCATCAGAAAAAGTGTACAAAATAAGAAGATTGTCTCCTTATGCATTCATTTGGACTGAGAAATGTTATTATATTTGTCCTTTCAATTTGCAAAGATTATTTTGACAATAATTTTGTGATACATATTTTTTAAAGTATGATGCAACATTTTCATTTTTAAGCAGCAATATACACCCCTTACAACACAGCAGTGAGAAAGCTAGCTATTTAAAAAGGTACTAAGTGGCTAAAAGCCTAAAACTATCAGACGGACGACCAGTAGCTGCCAGTAAGCTCCGTCAGGTTCTGGGGTACATTGGGCACAAGTAATTTCAACTGTAAAGATCATATGCATGGCACAACACATATTTAAGGTTACTAATTAACTCTCCATGAAGCCATTGATTAAATGGACACTTTCTCCACTTCTGGTATGAGCTCAAAAATTTTATTTCATTTTTATTTTATTTTTTACTTAGCCACTGCTGACAACCCCATCTTTAAAATCCCTACTTATTTTTGTTATTTAAGTCTAGCTCCATTTTAGATGTGGTTACGAAGAAAAAAACAGTAACAATTTGTCAGTATTATTTTTCTAATTACATAGGCTAGTAGGAAAAAAAAAAACATTAAAAATTAAACATTGAAAAAATGGCAATTAAATTGTTTGATTTGGTGTCTTAATGTGAAGATTCTGACACAAACCTGAGGTAATTTTTCTGGAATAGGCTCATTCTGGAGAGCTTGAAGGGCCTTCATTGCAGCATTATGTCTAGCAGCTTGACGAGTCTTTCCTTCACCAAAAAACTCACTGTTGCCAACAGTTAACTGGACATAGAAAATTTTAGGCACTGGGCAGTGATACCTAGAAAGAAGTCATGAAAAGAAAATAATACAAGTTATGAATTTTAACCATCAATCTTATGTAATATAGAGCAGTGGTTAGGAATAAAATGTTATCTTTTCTTACAGAGTAAGACCTAACACTCAAATATACAGACTGTTCCTCAGCAGGGCTATCAGTAACTCTGACAGCATCTCCTACATGACAACCAGCTCTTCACCCACATTTGCAGGGCTCTGCAATGAGCTCTACTATACTTCAGCCAAGCTGCCCAGCTCTGTTCTCTTCTTGGTTTCAGTCTTGAGAAGATTAAACCTAAGGAGAACTGAAAGTTTCAGTGTAAGCCATGCCTGGGAGACAACTCCTGTCCCACAGGAAAGGCACGGAGGAAGAAGCACTGCAAGGTCTGCCATTTGAAACCTGTTGGCGTAGCTCAGCTCACCCACATTGTTTTTCTTTTTTGTTTTTTTCCATCCTATAGAAATATTTCCAAATATAATGGCAAGGTTTGATTTTCTGAGTATGTCTGAAAGGCACTTAAAGCAAAAAAACCAAAACATTTTCCTATGAACCAGCACAGATATTATTTCTTGAAGGAAACAGTATCATCAACAGTATCATTGTATCATCAATTCCACATCTCTATTTTCAATAATAATAATAGCTTACCCAACCCATACTCACTACCCTGAAACCTGGCTCTCACTAGCAGCAAATGAAGAAGGCAATGTAATGCCATTCTTGGGTTTGGGAGGTCCTGTCACAGCACTCTGACAACTACAAACATAAAAACTTGTCTACATAAGCAATAGCTACAGAAAAGAAGTATTCCACCACCAGCCCCACACTCATTAAAAGCAATTCAGTAAAGATAATTAGTTCTAATCACTGTTAAAATGATAATATTTTAAGAGAACATTTCCAAAAAGTTCTCTAATTATATTCTACGTAAATGAGGGAATCTTCTTCATACTCTTTGCTATGTAGTGTGGTCTGCCTGTGCTCCTTCCTCAGACAAAGGCTTTTCTTACACACTGGAGATTTAGTCCTTGGAAAAATACACACCTATCAGAAATCGTATTTCATTTCTGATAAATAATTTGTATATATTTTATGGCATTGTAAAAAAAAACAGGATTCCAAAAGCATGGGCAAAAGCTAGCTCCATTACAACAAAACTAGAATCATTTGAAGACAAAGTATTACATTTTCCTTTTTCCTCTTAAAGGATCCTTATTAAAGCTTCCTCCCTCTATTTTCATCTGTTGACACAGACGATGATGTTTTCATATGAAGACTTTCTCACTTTTCATTAATAATTGTAACTGATTCATTTCAATTACCAGACAAAAAGGTGTTAGATAGCAGCACACTCCAAACCCAGATAAGCACTCCAGTCTCAGTGTCCCTGAACTTTGTCCCTAATTCTAAAAATACAATTATTTGGAAAGGGCAAAACCGTAATACAGGCTCCAACAAGCCTCTGGCTATAGGGCCTTGGAGGGGTGAGCTAAGTTGCCTTTACGACATGTTAAAAGTGGGTATTTGCTTTCCTGTTTACAGTTTTAACACAGTTACAGGGAATTATTAAGACCTGGAAATGCATTTGCTTATGTCACATTTTCATGAAATTATGGAATAACTCAGGTTAGAAAGGCTCGTGGAGGTTATCTAGTCCAAAACAGCACCCAAAGTAGGGTCAGTCTCTGAAGTTACACTTGTCTTGTTCAGACATTATCCAGGGTAATGTGGATATCCCCAAAGATAAAGATTCTATAACATCTCTGGGCAACCCCTTCCAGTGTTTGACCACTCTTTCTGGAAGAACATTACAAAGGCCCTATATGCATAATGAAATTCAAACACTATGGTGCCACTCATTAACAAAGCAGCTGTCAAACCAAAGAAACAGCAACATTAATTTCTATCCCACTCCACCACTTCCTTCATTGCTTCTGACATACAGCATTCACCTTGTGCCTCCCTTTGCTTCTAAAAGGTACAGAATACCAAGACACTATCAATGTGGCAAAATCTACAACAAAAAGTACAGTGGCTTGAGACTGAGATTTACTTCAAAAAGAATGCAATTTTTTTCAAGTGAAAGGCAGAATTTCACTCTTTCCCTTCACTTAGTGAGTTTACATAAAATACTTCCTGTATCAACATTTTCCTTTGGTTTATTGGTTTTACTTGGTTTGCAATACTGTTTTAGGGAATATTAAAAATATATTTAGGGAATATGCAGGCAATAGATGCAAATAATACCTTGAAAGAATTTAAAACTAAGACTCAGGCACAGTCCTTTGACACCATAGGTCAACCTATATTTCTAAAGTGAAAAATATTACACTTATTTAAAATCAAAGGAAAAATAATGAAAAGCTTCATAGTCACCATCAACTCCACTTCTTCCACAGCTGACTTCGAGCTGTCGCTTGCTCCTCAACACTGCACCTGTGCCTTTTCTTCTGGCTAACCAGTCCCAGCTCTCTCATTTTCTCCTCAGATGAGAGATTCTGCAGTCCCTTAATCACCCTATGGCCTTCACCAAATTTGCACTGGTTTGTCCATGTCTCTCTTGTACTGGGGAACCCAAAACTGGTCCCAGCGCCAGGGCTGAGCAGAGCAGAAGGATGACTTCTCTCAACCTGTTGACAACAGTCTTCTAAATGCAGCCCAAAACGTTGTTGGCCACTTTTGTTGCAACAGCACAGTGCTGGCTCATGTTTAACTTGGTACCCACGAGGACTCCCAGGTCCTTTTCTGCAAAGCTGCTTTCCAGGCAGCTATCCTCCATCGTGCAGTAATGTATGGGGTTATTTCTGCCGAGATGCAGGGATTTGCATTACCCTTTGTTCAACTTCATGAACTTACTGTCCACCCACTTCCCCTGCCTGTTGAGGTCCCTCTGGATAGCAGAGGAACCCTCTGGTGCATCAGCCATTCCTCCGAGGTTTGTACCATCTGCAGACTTGATGAGGGTACTCTCTGCCACATTATGCAGATCATTAAAGAAGATTTTAAACAGTACTAGCCCCAGTATTGATCACTGGTGTACACCCCTAGCTACTGGCCTCCAGCTACACTTTATGCCACTAATCACAACCCTTTGACCCTGGCAGTTCAGCCAGTTTTCAAACTGCCTCACTGTCCATTTATCCAGGCCATACTTCATGAGTTTGTCAAGGAGGATAAGAGACAGTGTTACAAGCCTTGATAAAGTCAAGATAAACAGCATCTTTTTCCTCTCCTTTCATCCACTGAGCTAGTCATCTCACTGTAGAAGGCTATCGGAATGGTCAGGCACAACCTTACCCTCTTAAATCCATGCCAACTGCTTACAGTCACCTGTCATTCTTAATACGGTCAGAAACAGTTTTCAAGATGACTTCCCCCATAATCTTCTCAGGGACTGAAGCGGGGCTGACTGAATTACTATTTTCCCATATCCTCTTTCTTGCCCTTCATGAAAACAGGTGTGAAATTTGCTTTCTTCCAGTCCTCAGAAACCTCCTTAATGACAGCAATCTTTCAAAGATAATCAGAAGTGGCATCACTATGACATCATTCAGCTCCCTCAGCACTCACGGATGCATCCCATCAGGCCTCATGGACCTGTCCAATTTGTTGAAATGTTCCCCAACTCGATCCTCCTCCATCAAGAGCAAGTCCTACCTGCTCCAGACTTTCCCGCTGATCTCAGGGACATGGGACTCCTGAAGGCCAGTCTTATCAGTAAAGACTACGATGAAGGCACTTTGAGTATCACTATCTTGTCCATGATCATCAGGTTCCCTACCCCACTTAACAGTGGTCCTTAGTCTTCCTTTTGCTGCTGTAGAAGCCCATCTTGTCGCCCGTAACATCCTTTTTGAGACTCAACTTCCAATGGACTTCAGTTTTCCTAATTCCATTACTGCACACTTGTACAGCATCTCTACATTCACCGTTGGTCAACTCAGCTGGGTCACAAATCCTGTTTGAGTTTAGACAGAAATTCCTTCTTCATTCATGCAAGCTTCCTGCTGCCTTTACTTGAACAAGCGGGAAAGTCTGGAGCAGGTAGGACTTGCTCTTGATGGAGGAGGATCGAGTTGGGGAACTACCTGCATGCTGGGATGGACAGTTAAACCACTCTTGACCTTGGAGAAGGTAAACCTTGACAAGTTTCCCTGGACTCCTCTCTTCAGGAGCATATCCCCTGAGATTCTTCCAAGCAGGTCTCTGAAGAGACCTAAGTCTACTATCCTGAGGTCCAGTTTGTGATCTGTGATATTTGTCTTGTTCTCTCTTCTCAATATCCTGCCACTATCTCATGGTCCCTGCACTGACTCCAGCCTTCACATCTCTGACCAGTTCTTTGAAAGTGTGAGCTCCAGCAGCAGTGCCCATGCTGATTCCTCAACCACCTATGTCAGAATGTCGTCACTGGTGCACTACAGAAACCTCCTGGATTGCTCGTGCCCTGCTGTGAGGCTGTTTCCTCCTGTCGTATCACTTGTCATTTGGGAGAACAGCTCCTCACTCCATCCTCCTTCCAGGTAGTTGTAAAGAGCAATAAGGTCCCCTCTGAGCCTTCTCTTCTCCAGACTAAACAATCCCAGATCCCTCAGCCGTTCCTCATAAGACTTATTCTCCAGACCCTTCACCAGCTTCTTTGTTCTTCTCTGGACCCGCTCCAGCACCTCAATGTCTCTCTTGTAGTGAGGGGCCCAGAACTGAACACGGTATTTGAGGTGCAGCCTCACCAATGCCAAATACAGGGGGATGATCACCTCCTTGACCCTGCTGGTTATGCTATTTCTGACATAGGCCAGGATGCCACTGGCCTTCTTGTTCCCCTGGGCACAAGCTGGCTCGTGTTCAGCAGCCGTCAGTCAGCACCCTGAAAGGGAGATTGACCCACTCTGAAACAAAAGCTCAGCTCAACTTTTGATCAGGACTAGCTGACAAAGCTGGTTGGCTGCTGCTACAGCTTGCTAGAAGCCACAGCCTCCTGCAGTTATCCTTTCCCTGCACCAACAGGCACCTCCAAGTTCCTCAAAGAGTTCCCAGGAACCCTCCCACCATCCCAGAAATTCTCAGATCTACAGCTACAGCCTGAAACTGCTAACTCTGTTAGCTGCATCTTAGCACAGGATAAGCTCTGTCATGCAAAAGCAGTAGGCACCTTGATAGCACATCACACCTCATTACTTCACAATCCTCTTTAAATAAAGAGTAGTAGTGCTTTTAGAAACTACCTAGGCTTAGGGAAAATACAATATCCATCAGAAGTTCTTGTTTCTTATTGAGTTACTCTCCATTACAGGCAAAGGAGGAAAGCACATGAACCTTAATTCACTTCATAAACTCAGATCCTACAACAGGCCCTCACTTTTTTGCCTCCCCCCCTCTCCACCTTTTCTTTTAAAGAGTGTTTAGGGAGCTATTTATGTGATAATATGGAAAAATGATATTCAGCCTGTGGCTCTAGAGCCTCATGCAGCTCTTTGGCACTGGCAGAATGATTAGGCTTTTACATGGTTTTGATTAAACTTTCCTTGCTCTGGTTGGCCTCAAGCAGGGTTAGAAGAGCACTGATAATATGAACATTGACAGGAAAGTGCAAAGGAGCACCTGAAATGCTCAGAAAATGAACTAAATCTGTGAGGATACTGGCTTTTCTACAACATGGAGCATGTCAAATAGAACATCCTCCTCATCTCAAGGGTGAAGACAGAGTCAGTGTTAACAAAAGCCTTAAAAGTGATCATATTACAGTCTGAAAGTACGGTGTGATGATTAAACTGAGTTTTAATACAGAATGATTCTGTATCCTGAAGATGGACGCTCATGTAAGGAACAACTCCACGCAAATTTAAGATTACCTACCTGCCACTGATCATTAACAAACCTTCCCAATATACTACATTTGAGTTACTAAAAAGATTTGCTGTTATGCAATAACATATTAGCACATTTTCCATCACAAGAACTCCTACGCATCAGTCCTATGCTCCTTTACCTCTCTGACACTGTTCAGCCACAGAACCGAAACAGTCAGAATTTCCAACAGCAACACTTCGCAGACTCTTTAGGTTTCTGAAAGTTTTTAAATTACCTACATTTAAAGAATACACATCTCTCTGCATTCTACATGGCAGCTACACAGGCTAAGACTTTCCTTTGTATAAAATTCCTATGTAAAAAGTATTCCCAGGTGATACTGGCAGACACTTTGGACAGACACAACCAAATGACTGACTACAAGACCAGAAGACAATGAAAGGACATATGAAACAATAGATTCAATTGGAATGAAAAAAAGAAGTGATAAAGGATAATACTGTAACAACCAGTCACATATAACCTATTAAAACAAGATAATTTCTATCTGGCTCTTCTGGACATTTGAGATTCTTAAGAAGACCCCTCAGAAAAGAGGTCTGGAAAACAGGTTCTCTTCATTCCCTCTAAGTTTCTTAGCATCAGAAATCAACTTTTTAGCTAATGTTGTTGGTATCACGTTAGAATAGTCAACCTGAAAAAGGATATTTGCTCTATGACTGTGACCTGGAATTCCAAGTTTCAGCAATGAGCAAATATTTACAACTAGTTATAAACCACTAAAAATAGGGGTTCGTAACAGAAATGCTGACAGACCTTAACTAAGTTGGTGTGAGTGGGCGCCACTATAATTAAATAAATCACCAAAATCTGTTGACAATTAGAAAACTCATTTTGGTTTGCCACAGAGACAAACAAAAATTCTGTTCATTATAATTTTACTGGAATATGATGTCATAACATGTAAGCATACTGAAACAATCTGCTGCTTTTCTAGCCAAAATATTAATTGCATACTAAGGAGCCCTTGGGGCCTCTTCCTTTTTGGCCATCAAATCCACACACACAAAGACAAATAAAGTATTAGTACATACGTTATGTGTTCATACTGCATTTCCTGCATTTCTCTGGATTCCTCAATGGCATAAACGTTTTTGATAAATATTGTTACTATATTCTTAGAAGGGGAAAAAAAAAAACACAACTGCAAGCTGCAGCTCATGGGAACCAGGAGATTTATTTAGATTTAGCCTCCTTTTCACTGTTAAAAACTCCAGCGAGACTTTGTCTAAATTCTAACGGCCAATGTATTCTCCACCTATGTAAAAAAGAACAAATAAACCCAATTACTTCCCCACTACACAAGTGTTATAGGAAGCATTACCCCATTCCCATTTCTTAATGCAAAGTGAAGAGGAATAGGGACCATTCTGGCTAAGGTGAGGGAAACACAAGATACAACATGAATGGGAAAGTCATTCTTCAGATGCCAGCTCTGTGCTGAAAGGGTCATTTTCTGTGCTTTTTTCCCCTGGCTCCTTTTCCATACCAACTCAATAAAGCTGGCAGCCCTGCTGAGACTGCTTAACCAGGAGAATGCTGTGAGCTTCACAAGTGGAGGCATAAAGAGCCACAGACTGCACAGGGGAGTATGAAATGGTATTTGCTGTGAAGAACTTTTTCTCCATAACATTTGGAATTCCTCTAGGGGAGCAAGTTGCTTAGTGCAGCTGGTCCCTCGCCACGTCTGATTTTTCTGAGCAGTCCATTAGCCACGTGCATTTCTTACAGATGTGAGCTCTATGTTTTGAAGAAGGAAACATCCAGTTCAGCCACTTTTGTCTTCATAGAGTCCACCTCCTGGTTCTTTCAGCAGGTCCACAACAACACCTGGGAACAAAGAGGCTCTCTTTTCCAAGTACTCCTTTTGAGAACCACAGTCCATTATCCCTGAATCAGTCTGGCTGTCCTCTTCTAGATTACCCTCACACCCTCCAAAAGCATTCTTAATGTAAAGGGAGCAAGACAAGGAACTATGCAGCTTTTTTTTTGCCACGGACATCTGTTATTAGATGGAAAATCTGAAATTTCTATTCAGCTAATTTATTTAAATAGTCTATGACTGTTTTCACCTGTCTAATACTGACCTCCCCTCAGCTACATGGTCAAGATTTTAAAAAATGAAAAATCATGTATACTTGTCCCAGATCATCCTTCATTAGAAAGATGGTTTTAAACTACAATCTGAATCTTTAAAAGTTTAAAATTAATTAATTCTGAATTATTCAATATTTTTTCTCTATATGATCAGTTTATGAAACCAATTTTGACCTGGTAGAAAACCACTAAGCAATAGAACATTTAATTGACCATGTAAGAATTGTAAAGAATAACCATGTGATGGAAATGTATTAACAGAGAGAGATTCAAAAGCATCTGTATTTTTTTTTTAATAATGAGAAAACATAACAAAGATGCTTCCTATTTTAAGACGCAGAACCCCCAAACCCTTTCTATTTCAAATGTAAGAATGCAAGCAAATCCTCCATTAAACACTCAAGATCCATGATTTGCAGGCAACTGCAATCTTGCAGGCAAATGCAGTCTTCTTTATCTATTAAGGTCTATTAGAAAACAGTGATTCTGCTGGGAATATGATCTGGACACTGAGTTGATACTTTGGAATCTCCTAATACTCAGGTTGGCTATACTTTTGTTTTTGTGTCAATGCTAATCCTTTAACTTATATAGCTCACTTACTTTTTTGTTATATTTACCTTCCAAGGTGAGCTTTCCCATTCCCTCTCAGACTTCTGTTTTGCAAGGGAACAAGTCAAGTTAGTTTAGAAGTCTTTTGTACAAAAGGCTACCCACTATCCTGATAATCCTTCATAGCCCTTCCCTATGCTTGCTCCTGTTCTTAAATATGAGTGTCAAGAACGGTAGAAAATATACTATATGAAAGGCTAACAGTGTTTTGTGTATTAGCAATATTTACAGATTTTTACTGGAAGTATCTTGCTCAACCCATCTTAAAAATCACATTTGCCTCTCCTCTGGTTCAATCAGCTGTTCTTCGTTTATCTTGCAAATAATTAATAATATTAGATAAAAATCCTGTTCTGTGATTTCCAACTGAATTAACTCTCAGGTGACAACCAAGCTAGAGCTATTAGTGCCTACAGTCTTCATCTTACATCTTATACTGGAAAGTCTAGTCTCACCCCATTTCTAATGTCAGTCCTCATGATCATCCAACTCTTCCTGGCATATCTTGATCTTCCTGTGTAGCAACTGAGCCTTCAACAGCACATGAACTTTTTCCTACTTTTTGTGCAAACACCTTTAACAAAGAAATTTGAAAGTTTGATTCTAAAACTGAAAGATCTGTATTTAATACATCTTCCTCCACGTTTGACTTTCAATACTGCTGATTATTTTTCTTTTCCTTTTCCACCTTGCATTTCTTATATAAATCCTTCCATTTCCTTCACTTTAATGAAAACAGTATCCTTATCTAATGCTATAAAATGCTGAACTGATTCTCACAAATATAACTTTTGCTTTACTCCCTTTACCTAAAAAATAAGTTAACACATTAGCCAGACATAATCTACCTTTAGAATACAGTAACTTCGTAGTGAGTTTTATCCTTGTTTACTTGCATGTCTTTATTTATAATTTCTTTTAAACTTTGTGCTGAGTTGGGAGTATTCCATGAAGTTAATGATGATTCCCTTTTTTTTCTTCTTTTCCTAGGCTAGAGACCATGCAGTTCCTTCAAGCTGTATGACTATCTTAATCAAAAAAACTGACTCATGATTTCAGGATCACAATACTGAAGCATTCCTGAGTAAAAAAACAAAAGGGAGGGGGATTCAGTTTAACATAACATTATCTAATGTGGACTCTTTCCAGAAGAATTTGTGATGACAAGATAATAACATTGCCACATCACTCTATCTCTGAATTCCAAGTTGCTCAGTACATTTGACTGTAATAAGTATTTCAATATTTACGCTCTACATGTACCACTACTTTGTTTACCATTTGCAGCAAATATGTACATCAACAAGTAAAAACACTTGCTCCTCAAAAGTAATTAGAAAAAAAAAAGAACAGAAAACTACAGACATTTTAAGTTAAATATTTTAACAGTCATAGATTACTCTAACAAGAAATACCACAAACATATTGCAGCACTAGCTATAGAGAGATGTTTCCATGCACAGCAGGTTCAGATCTCTTCTTCCACTTTTTTTGCTCTCTCTCTCACAGTGTAAAGCCTTAAAGTTTAGAAGTTAACACTTTTCAAAGTGCCAGAAGGGTCTCAAAACCAGCCCAAATACCTTTTTTTTTTTTAAAAAAAAAACAAATTAGTACAAGAGAATACAAGGAAAAGAAGGAAAGGCTAAGAAGAATAAAAGGGAAAAAAAAAAAAAACTAGGAAAAAAAAGATCATGAGATGAACTTTCCAAAGTACCCTACACTGCAGATTAAGAGAAAAAACAAATGAAAAACAACAATCAAAATCAAGAAGAGAGCACAGAATGTTATGTGCCTCTGAAGAAGTATTTTTATCTGTCAACTGAATAACTAAGTAACGAAAATGGTCAACATAACTTCAACTTATTCCTGACTGCAAAAATAGCATGAATAATACAAGAACATAACAAGAATACTGCCTCCAGAGTTTAAGGCATTGGATAATGTCAAGTGGACAATGTTGTAATGGAGATAGCAGACGGCAGGGAGAAAAAGATAAATACAAGGAAAAAGAAAATGTTCTTTTCTATGCCAGAAAAAGAAGTATAATAAGAATAAAAGGGAAAACATAATGAAGCTGTGATGTACACTGTACACTTAGAGGTTAAAGCAGACATTCAGAAGACAAACATCTCAAATTCTTATCTACTTCAGCTCATAAAATTTCCCATGAACTGTCTTACTCACTAATCTTTACAAGCATGCAGAGTGATTACTGAGAATGCTGTCCAAATATCCATTACAGTAAAAGAACATAAACAGTGTTGCATATCTGACTACAATGTCATTTTCTTTCTACATAAAAAACTAATATAAAAAAAAATAAAATCATGTCACCTGTCACCTAGAGACCAAGCAAATGAAAGAATGAAGTACCTCATTTAATTTTATCATATATTTATACTGGTAATATAATGCTAATAAAAATGTTACTAACAAAATCATCTCAGGCCAAGGGCTTCATAAGAATTAATTAACCTAAAATTCCACAGAGGAAGAAGGTCCAAGCAAGCTCACAGTGTGATTCTTACCATCCAAGTTAACTTAAATTCAAATAACTAGTGTATATTCGGCTATATTCTCTTCCCACTTGGAGGAATGTAAACACAGGCATTTAACTGCATTATCCGGAGTAAAAAAATTAACTTGTAATTTTAAACTTGGCAACTATACGATTAAAAGTAAGAACAAACTCTAAAACCACACTTAATTCCAGCTTAAAGAGTCAATTCTCAGCAGCTGAGCGCAGTTAACTGAGGATGCACTCTCCCACCTTGCTAGTTATCATCTCTGCATCCTATAAAAAACTACTATCATGGCCAGCTACAGCTTCTGTCCAGAAAACTTCAGACCTGTGTCATCAGACTTGCAAAGAAATAAAATGTGAGACAGAGAGAGCTTGGTCAATTGTAAAGAGATTCTGTGTTGCCCTACAGGGATCCTATCAGGGATGCTGAAAATAACGTGGATGGTCTTATGAAGGAAGCTTTATGTGCACCTGTGAAGGGAAGGCAAGGGAAAGGATCTGTTAATCTATCATAGTGAAGTTTGGAAGGGGCAAAAAGGTCAGGAACTAAAAAGATGAGTGGAGAAGTCTTTCCATGCTTTAATTCCTTTCTATTTAAAAGCATAAAAAGAGCAGACTTCCTAGGGAAACTTGTTCATGAATAGCAGATACAATACTCTTTCAATATTCAAACTTTAATGGACAAATGGATTTACACCAATGTAAATACTGTAAGACAACTAAATATAAATAAATTGCTAATTAAAACATAAAAGTGATGCAATGAGGGTGCAGTAGTAGCAGTCACCAATGCACGGTGACTCACCTCAGCTGGTCTGCTGAGTACAATTAGGTACTGAATATTAACGCAGGAAAAAAGTTAAATCATGTTGGATCAATATATTACAATATAAGTTGCAGACTTGGTAGAAAATGTATATAGGATAGAGTATAACTGTATTCTAGAAAGCAGGGACTCCAAAAAAGACATGGAGGACAAAGACAGGAAGGACTGTTAGAATAGAATCACAGAATCATTTAGGTTGGAAAACACCTTTAAGATCCATCAAGTTCAGCTCCTTCAGTACCCCTGGGTAGATCCCCCCACCTGGCTCCATAGACTTGTGTATGTCTAAGTGTGTAGCATGTCACTGACCATTTCCCCTTGGATGATAGGGGCTTCATTCTGCTCCCAGTCCCTATTGTCTTCCAGTTCAGGGGGCTGGGCACAGTGAGAAAAAAAAATAGTCCTACTATTCAGACAGAGGCAAAGAAAGCATTAAGTACCTCAGTCTTTTCCTCATCCATTGTCACTGTTTCGCCCCGCATCCAATAAAAGGTGGAGATTCTCCTTAGTCCTCCTTTCGTTGCTAATGTATTTACAGAAACATTTTTAATTCTATTTTATGGCAGGAGCCAGATTAAGTTCTAGTTGGGCTTTTGCCCTTCTAATTTTCTCCCTGCATAACCCCATGACATCCTTGTAGCCCTCCTGACTTGCCCGCACTTTCTTTCAAAGTTCAGAAACTCTAATTTTTTCCTGAGTTCAGTCAGAGCTCTCTGTTCCGCCAGGCCAGTCTTCTTTCCCACCAGCATGTCTTTCAGCACATGGGGATGGCCTGCTCTGGTGCCTTTAAGATTTCCTTCTTGAAGCATGGACAGCTTTCCTGAACATACTGGAACTCCTTTGCTCTTTAGGACTGCCTTCTGGTGTCAACCAGGCTCCTAAACATGCCAGAAGTCCAAAGTAGCAGTTCTGCAGAACCCCCTGCCCGCCTTTACTTCTCCAAGAATCAAAAACTCTATCATTCATGATCTTTATGCTGAAGATGGCCTCCAACCATCACATCACACACAATGAACAATAGGTCCAGAGGGGCACCTTCCCTAGCTGGCTCACTCACCAGCTGTGTCAGGAAGTTATCTTCCACACACTCCAGGAACCTCTGAGACTGTTTCCTCTCTGCTGTATTGTATTTCCAGCAGACATCTGGTAAGCTGAAGTCCCCCATGAGAACAAGGGATAGCAATTATGAGACTCCTCCCAGCTGCTTACAGAGTATTTTGTCTGCCTCTTCATCCTGGTTGGATGATCTATAACAGGCTACTACTATCTGCCTTGCGGGCCTTCCCACTAAGTCTTACCCATAAACACTCAAACCCTATAGTCACCAGCATTAAGCTCTAGACAGTCAAAACACACAGGTCTACCCCACTGCCTCTCCCTCCTTCCCTATCCCTTCTGAAGAGTTTAATCTCCTTCTGTTGTGTATCCAAAATGGTTATTATGATTTATGACTTAGTAAACAAGGTCAGTACAGAGATTACCTTTACTGAATGGAACTAAGGTTCAGCTGCTGATGTCCACCTCCTTAAGAATTCCTGTTTCTGTTTCACTGACAATAATGTCAGACTTGAACCTAAATCAGTGAGGTGATTAGCCTCCATTTTCCCCTCCCTTGTCTAAAAGCTAAGAGAGTTTTGGGTTAGTTTTTTTGCAGAGATGATTTCCCTTTTGATCACAACACTGGGGGATTCAGCCCCATATCAGTGAAACAAATTATCCAAACATATCATGGTGCCAAAGTAGCTGATGCTGTGAATGCAGCTATCCTTTGTGTGACAATGACCAACTAAAACAGATATCCTAAAAAGATAAGCAGATCTTCACACAATCCTGGTAATTAGCATTTCAGAAGAGATGTTAATTGTACTTCCTTTCACAGAAGCAGCCACCAAAATCACAACTGTAGACAAGACCTGAAGAAAAACTGTAACACAGTGGTTGCTGGTGAGAAGTTCTGCATTCAGACTCCATTTAGTCTGTCATAAAAGAATCCTGAAAACCTTTCTTGAGAAAACGAAATACTTCCTCAAACCTGCGGCAGAGCTTCTTGTTCAAAAGAGACAAAGATCTCAGACTAGGAGAGAGTACAATTCCAATCAGATCTTACTCAGTTATAATCTGTTAAAAATTAGCCACTAAGCTTCTTTCTGCTTGCTTGCTTCAGGAAACTCACAAGAGCCTCTCAGACTAATGTTTCAGCTCTAACAGCAGTTCATCTGTGCAATTACCAAAAAAAGCAGGCAAAGGAAAGAGAATGTATTTACTGGTAACCACTGCTCAGGTTCTGAAAGAACATATTTACTGGTAACCAATGTTCAGGTTCTGGACAGAGCAGAAAGACCATACCAAGAAAGGGAGGCCACCCAGGCTTGCTTCCACTGAACACGCTATGTCACGTGTCTCCCGACTGAAATACCCACAGCTCAGCAGAAGTACAGGAAAAAAATATAAGTGAATGAAAAGCTAACTGTGGAAAGAAAGAAACACACCCCAAAAGTTCCTGCTCCTAGAGGAGCATTCTGAATCAGTGCTTACATTTATACACACCAGCAATGCTAGTCTTCTGTCCAATCCTGAAAGTAAAGGTGCGTTAAAACAACCAGATCTAGAGAAAGGACACCCAGTGAGTTGCAAAGCCAAGAGACTGAAGAGATTCACGAGGTGCTGGGGCAGGCTCTGAAAATCTTTGAATCAAAATGTTTACAGGAACTCTCCCAAGTTGAAGAACAGTATTGAAAGACAGACATTAAGAAACCAAAGATTAAGAGGATCTATATTTCGCTTCTTCATGTTTTCAGCCTAAGCGAGAACAAGACAAGTCATGGCTGAAACTTGGAGAGGGAGATGTGGAGCCAGATGTACCTTCTCCAGAGCAAAGAAAGATCTGAGAAAGTTGACAATCAAAAGAACCCTATCCGCTGAAAGAAGCTTCAGGTATTCAGAAATACCCCAAATGTGAGCGAAGGACCACAAAAGGACAGGGCAGTTCTCTTAGAGTAAGAAAGCAATTAATCTGGGGAGGTCACTATACCCTGACGGAAAATGAAGACAAATATTAAGAGAAGAATAAAGTATTAGGGCTTAGGAGCTCCTGTATAAATGGGGTCAAGAGCTCATTGACAAAATTATTTAATCTTAAGTGAAAACAGTTTAGAACACTGCAACAGCACAAAACGCCATGTCTTGTATATCACATTTTAGGCAAGAAAAGCGTTAAGCATCTAGAGGCTCTTCAGCTAAGGCTGAGATTTTAATGATACCAAGTAAGTACACTGACCTGGAGACTGAAGAAACACTGTACTGAGAATACTACCCAAAAAGTTTGCTCTTTATTCTGTCAGCTTGATTTTTAGTCTACATAGCATTATTTTAACAGCTGTCAATGTAATATTGTAAATACACTTAAGAGTATGTATTTTATTGATCCCTCACAGGTTAAATGCACCCATTAATGTAGTGGATAGGTTTGTCAGAAGGATTACAAGCAAGCTGTGCCAGGACACATCACATAACACCATCTTGTGAGCACTCTGGAAATATCCCATAATAGGGTGAGGGGACTGCAGAAAAATCGCTTTGGGACAGCATTTAAGAAGTCTGTAGATTCCACAGCAGAATCTGGGGTTTCTGATCCCAGATACTCCGTGTATTTTTATGATTTAAAACACTATGGAAATTAAACATTAGCTGTCAAAAATTTTATTGCAGGAATAAATATCCTCTGTCTTTTAAGGAATTTTTATATTGTTTTTAAGCCAACCATACTAATCACCATTGTCTAAACTGATAGCTACTGGCAATGGCAAAGCTCATCACCTGCAAGCTCCCTTGCCACTGTTCTTTTGGGAAAGCTATTGTAAGACAAACAGATGTTTCTGCTGTTTTAAACCAACAGGAAATGGACTGACTTTCTCCCTTTTCCTTTCCTAGAAACAAATACTAGCAAAGAAAAATCTTAGCACAGCTGTACTCAACACTTTCCTTATAACAATATGTCTGTGTGGGAGGCAGGCAATGAGTGGGAACAAGCAGGCCAGGGGAAGGGAAATGCAGCATGCAGAAGACAAACACAAAGAATTATTTTGAAAGTCTATGAGTGGATTATTACACTAGCATGCTGATACACTAGCAGGGTAGTAGCAGTGTGATGTACAAGAGTTTAAGCTACAATCTGAATCCTGCCTCAACTGATAATGTACAAAATTGAATCAACTATCAGCTAACAATCTCAGTTCCTTCCAAGTGAAGACATATTCAAATAATCTGAAAGCTTCATTAGTATGAACAGACTGCAGGTTTGGTGGCCGAGTTGCAGCCTTATCTTTAAGGAAATGTCTTTAGGTCAAGGCTGAGAAATTAAATAATATATTGAAATGCAGAATTCTCACTATCTTTCTGCGGATAAACCAAACACTTCAATTTTCACTGCTCATAAATTGGCACCTTTTACTTGCACTAGATTTACATAAAAAGCAGATAATGTCATTGAAGTTACTGCATTTCAGGGAAAGAAAACCTGACAGATGAAGGAAAACTTTGTAGCAAACCCAGTTTTAATTGATTTTTGCTGGATTTAAGACATTTTAAAGTAATAAAAAGCTTCAGAATAGGAAAATGCAACTTTTGAAAGCGCTTCTGCTGTGAGACTCTTTACAACAAAACATGAATTAATGCTGCCATCTAATGGTCTAAACAAGACTTTTCCAGCTGAACAATCAAATTGCTAAACTGAATGATCACTTGCATTATTCTTAGAACTATTCTTTCTTTCCTTAAATTTTAACTATCTGAAATCTGTATCTGTTGTTCAGAATGAAATTACCGTGTATTTAGGGAGATACAACCTATTCTAACCAAACTCTTAATTTCTATTTCCAAGTAGTTTTCAAAAACCCTTTCTTCCAAAAGGGTTTTTGGCCATTTGTCCAAAAGGCTGCAAGGAGGGCAAGGAATGCAGAAAGGAGTTTTCTCAAAGTCAGTCAGTAAACATCTTCATCATCACACCTCTTAATCCATAAAATGCAAATTTTAAGGACAAAATTTTGCAACAATTGACTGGAAATGCAGGCAAAGCACCTCTGACTCTTCCTGGCCTTTTTTAGTGGAGGGATGTTGTACCCTGCGGCTGAAGTCTGAAGCTGACAACTGTTGCAAGGTAAAAATCCCAGTGCCACCCCACACCACTCCTAACCAAGCAGGTTCTTCTCTTGTGACTAGCTCAGCTAAACACAGCAGACTTCCGAACTGG